GCACTGCCTCCATCTTCAGGGTCGAAGAGTAAGCTAAGCAAGTAACCAATTAACAGCAACACTCCAATCTCACATAAAAATCAATCAAGTCGTAATTCTGTTAAACAAAAGACGAACTCATTCCAACAGGTACTCATTTAAAACAAGTGGAAACAGAAGGTACTCGAAATTGCATGGAGTACCTACTTATTTGGGGCAAGCGGTAGCGTAGTCAGGTGAGACACTATACTACAAGCCGGAAGATCGCGAGTTCGATTCCCAATGAGGTTACTAGATTCTTTTCAATTGACCTAATCCTTCCAGCCGCACTATGGCCCTGGGGTAGACTCAGCCTCTAACAGAAATGAGTACCGGGAATCTTCCTGGGGAGTAAAGGGCGGCTTGTGCGTAAGGCTGATAACCTCACCGCCATCTGTGAGCCGATTGTCTAGAAAACGTGGGAGTCTCGACGTCTCACTACGCTATGGGCCTCCACGGTCTGTTACAGGGATAGCTTTACCTTACCTTTACCTGTTTATTTATGAGTTAGGTTACATTTCAGCGTTTCTTTTTACTGCAAAGCACGTCTTGTAACAGTCTGCTAATTGCAAACGTCTCTCATTACAGTCGTCACACAATGGGACAATTAACAATTATTATAAATAATGATCTAATGATTATTCATGATTTTGGGGTTGAGGTTGTTGTAATGTTTGTTATGGTACAATTTCAAGTTGGTACGCAACACAATGGAACATACTCGGGCCCTTGGAGTGGAGTTCCTGCCTTCCGGCTACGCATTCAGAACGAACTGACACGCTTGAAAATGTAGGGGGGACATTTTGAGGATGTTGGAATGTCGGTATAGACAAGCGTGCATCCTGTTACCAGCATGGACATAAAGCGACTTACCAGAGTACTTCGGAAAAAAAATAATTTATTTCACACAAACCCGCGAACGTAAAGTTAATTCTGCACTTATTTAAGTACCATGAAGACGTATGGGGGAAGTGGAGGTACAGCTTTACGCACTCTTAACCTAGAGGTGAGTGGGCAGTTTCAAGACGCACCCAGAAAAGAGCCCCGGTGCCCGCTGGGTAAGAGGCTGTGTGGGTTTCAGAGCCAGTCTGGAATCTGGAGAGAAGAGAAAATTCTCTGGTTCCTGTCAACATTTGAATGCCGCCACTGTAATGACTGAGCTATACTCGTATACGTATAGTGACAATGATTATACGTTTTGCAATGTTGGGAATGAATGGTAAGGTCTGTGTGGGAAGTCAGTAAAATAAAGAAATGGTTAAGGGCTGCAAAATAAGAAAATACGAGTATGTGAAATATTAACGCAACTTTATTATACGTTTTGATAAAAAAAATCGCAGGGCAGTTAGGAATCCCCATTTTTTTCAGTTAAGAGACGGTTATACTTTTCAAACCAATTTTGTCCAAAGGCCCATACATTTTCTAATTACATAAAAATAATTCGGTTCGGCCTAACTTCAACGCTTGTCTCAATGACTGATACTAATTCCGTGCCATCAATTACACGTTTATCCACTTATCTTTAGGCTTGCAATTTGTAAAATTATTCACAAACATATAAAATTTTATGTACCATTTTTATTTAGAGGCGCGCGGTAGCGTAGTTGATTAAGGCATTTGGCTACAAGCCGCAAGGTCTTGGTTTCGATTCCCGATGAGTCTATTGGATTTTTCAATTGGAGTGTTAATTCTCACCGCCATGCAGAGGAATATCCTACACGAAATAAGAAAACGGAAGGCTAATTGGATTGGTCATGTTTTACGCAGAAACTGCCTTCTAAAAGAAGTTATTGAAGGAAAGATAGAGGGGCGGATAGAAGTGACAAGAAGACGAGGAAGAAGACGTAAGAAGATGCTGGATGACCTTGGGGACAGAAGAGGATACTGTCATTTGAAGGAGAAAGCTCTAGATCGCATTAAGTGGAGGAATCTGTCAGTAATCTGACAGATTACTGATGATGATGATGATGATGATGATGATAACCTTTCCAGCCTCACTATGGCCCTGAGGTCGACTCAGCCTTTAACAGAAATGAGCACCAGGATGTTCCTGGTGGTAAAGGAAGGCTTGTGTAAGGCTGACAACCTCACCGCCATCTGTGAGCCCACTGTCTAGAGAAAATGTGGGAGCCTCGACGTCTCACAATCCTATGTGCCTCCACGAACTGTTATAGAGATAGCTCTACTTTTTTACCATTTTTATATTTGCCTCTCGGGTTTCTTAAAGGTTCTTTTTAGCGTTTCTGAGAACAAAAACAGTGTGGGAATTAATGAGTTAGCAGATCATAATTTTCCTGTGAAAATATACTGTAGTGACGACACTAAAGTAACAGAGAGACCATCCTGCTTTGCCTTCTGGTGGATAGCTGTTAACGCTATCTCGCGTGGTTCGACCTTACATGTGAATTTTCGTTTCATATTTGTAAGGAAAACCAACAGTGAAAACCTCACTCAGATCCAGTGTATTCTGATCATCGGAATTTACAGGGCCTGTCAGTTGTCGCCTTAATTGCTAATGGACCTATCTCCACGTTTTGTGGAACAGAGGAAAGAAGAATACAATGTCTGAAACAAGAAAGAGATGAATATTGGATATAAAAAAACGCAATTGTTTTCTCAAAATTTCTATTGTGATTTTATTTAGTCTAATCATAAACGAACACCAATTATGCCCTAAAGAACTAGATGCTTTTATAACCTAAAAAAAAATAATAAAAATCTAAGACGGAAGAAAGATATTGTGATGCAGTACAGCTAAGGCCTTGTGAAATTAGTACAGACCTCCACTCATATGAAAGTTATCGGCATGTAAACACGCCGAGCGGTCTAAGGCATGCACTGTCTTCGTTCGCTCGGAAGCCGGGATCGTGGGTTCGGATCTGTTTCCTGTGAGGTACGAACTGAATTCTTATATATTATTCTTATACACTGCCGGTCACGGTAGCCGAGCTGTCTAAGGCATGTACTGTCTTCGCTCGCTCGGAAGCCGGGATCGTGGGTTCGAATCCCACACAAGGCATGGATGTCTTATATATGTATGTGTTTATTCTGTGTCTGTATTGTCCTGTGTTTAGGTATAGGCCTTGTGACGAGCTGATCACTCATTCAAGGAGAGCTACAGTCTGTAAAATAATCCAAATGAAAAAACAACCTCGACACCGTAGAGCATAAGGGGAACGGATTAAGTAATTCGGTAAAATCATGTAAATATATCAGTTTCCTACACAGGATAAACAAATTTCAAATAACAATCAAAATTATTTGAAATTACGATGGAAACTTCGTCATTTTTTTTTTAATTCGCTTAGTGGGGGGGTGGAGTTCAGCTGGGTCCACTCGGCACGGCGGGCACTGATTAGCCTATTGTAGCCTGCCCCGGGTGATTATGATGATGGACAATTTGGTGGAATGAAGATTGACAGGGGAAACCGAAGTACTCGGAGAAATCCCGTCCACTACAAATCCCACTTGACCAGACCCGGTATCGAACCCGGGCCCCGCGGTAGGAAGCAAGCGGCTAACCGCTTGAGCTATGGCGCGGCCAAACTTCGTCTACTTAGTCTACCAAAGGAATGATGAGGCTATCGTCAGTTAGTGACGTGGACAGCTACGTCATCATTAAAATGACACTAGATTCGAGTTTCAACACACGGACACTCTACGCACTGCGGCACAGAAAAAGAGAAGGAACATTTTGCTAGATACGAAAGTTTAACATATGATTTCCGGTACTTACAGTTATGTACATCGAAAGCATAAAAAGGCAAATCTGTCCCTGTGTTTAATTAATTAATTACTGCACCATGAAGACTTACTGAGGAATGGAGGCATACCTCCACAACCTGGGCACTACATGAAGATGAGTGGTCAGCTTCACGCCCCGACCGCTTTACCCGCGATACGCATTCTATAGGCGGCTGCGTGAGCGCCAGAGTCGGTTCTGGACGTTACGGAGAAGAGAAAGTCTCTTGCTCCTGCTGGGAATCGAATTCCGACCGTCCAGCCCGTAGCCAGTCGCTATACCGACTGAGCTATCCCGGCTCCCGTGTTATGATGTTGGTCCACAAGCTACCCGTACACTGCAGGTGAAATACACTATACAATGGCCAGCTTACCTCTCGCTGCATTTGAAGTATGTGAGACCAAATATGGAATATTCTAACATACCCAATCCCACTAAACTACAATTATGGCATATATCTGCAACATGAATATACTGTAGCGAGTAGAGCCGTTGCTATGCAACGACCGCGAGATGGGCGGATATACCAGGGTCATTTCTGGGAAACGGCTTGGTAAACACGTTCTCGCAGCAACAGACACGAACGCAACAACAGAAGAGCTGTGTTTTCTATGTGGTCCGTGACGATATGATATAAGCAAATAGGGTATAATCTGCTGTACTGAGCCTGGACTGACAGAGCCCCTGTATATATATATATATATATATATATATTAACATGTTTAACTTGTAAAATGTAAATATGCTTTACCTTATGACAAACGACTTACTACTGCAGACAATGACTCTGACAAAAAACAGACCCGTCCTTTCGTCAGAGAGGGCGCCCCACAAAAACAAGACTGTAATTGTCAAACAGTAATAAATTTATGGTCATGAGCCCCAGACTGGGATCAACACGAAGACTGACTGACTGACTGACTGACTGACCATCAGTCGCAATGTGATTTTACTTTAACTTTAGAGCTTAGTCAGTTCTGTATGGGAGTCTATGCAGAGGGAACTTGAGCCGGAGGCAGAGCAATAGCCACTGTTGGAGCCGTTACCAGTAAACATCTAGTAACAGACTGAGAACAGTAGACTATATGCTTTAGTGAACCGTAAGGTGTGGAAATAGCGATAGTGTTATAGTTATTTGTAGTTACTGCCTGTAAGTGGTCGATAAATCCAATAATCGAAAACCCCGTCTACAGTCACTCATACACGTGACAATATGATTAACTGGTCTGCATAACACCAGCTGCAGTTATGTTAGGTGTATTAGTTCAAACGATTATTCGGCCTTAACATGGACGGTAGTTGATCCAGTGACCTCTGTTAGCTGCTTTGAATTAAAGGCTCCCACGATTTTCCTTTCGCCCTCTTTCTTGGGGCGAAAATATTCTGTAAAGGTCACCAGCTCTCCCGGATGCACATCTCTGTAACGAGAGGAAAGCATCTCATGGTTATATTGTTTTCTGTTGAGCTGTTCAAGTCTGCTTGCTGTATGTATTATATATGTATACATAGAAGATGGGCTTGAACTCAACTGAATTTATTATGCCGTTTATGCATGAGAGTGTATGTCCACTTACAAGAGCTGCCATCAACATTTCACCACCACGAAACACCTAAATAAGTATTGGGCGGCCTTTAAAAGGGCCGGTTCTGTGTTTGCGCAACTTTTTTGGGCCACTGACTCAATTGGCTCAGATAGGCCACCAACCCCACCCTCCCCTTCTTAAATGGCTTTTAGAAAGAAACTTACGTGTATATACACAGAAACTCACACATCCTGCACTCTTCCACACTGAAGATGGAGACAGCAAGTGCTTCCGAAATGTCGGCTCACATGTACGCGGTATAACCACCCAAGAACTGTTAACCATAATGAAAGCCTAAAATCTGTAACTTCAACTTCACCACAAAGGCTGCTCCGTTGTCATCAGGTTACGCCGAGATAATGGGCTAGAAATTTAACTACGTGCTTTTTTTTTCCTTGGCACTACAGCCCCAGTGGGCCTAGGCCTACCTCCATCAACTTCTCCGTTCACTTCGGTTTTCCTTGACCTTACACATTCGGTAGGACTCCTTGGGCGGGTGATCAGCTCGTCGCAAGGCCTCTACCTGTACACACACACAAACTAAACATCCATGCCCTGAGTGGGATTCGAACCCACGATCCCGGTTTCCAAGCGAGCGAAGACAGTGCATGCCTTAGACCGCTCGGCTACCGTGACCGGCAACTACGTCCTTTATGTGGTATTTATTTCTACGTTTAGGGCGTCTGTTCAAGTTACTTTTATTCACTTCCTGTAAAATTATTATTTATTACGCAACATGAAACACAACCATTAAATGCCGGACACTGCCATAACCGTATTACAAAGAATTGTTTGGGATGTGACACCATGTAGTCTGGTATTTCTTTACCCATGTTTCGCAGGAAAATGCTACTTTAATCATGAGGTAAAAAGGTAAAGTTGCCCCTTTGCTTAACTAATTAAACACTACGCCATGAAGACGTATGTGTTATTGGGTGTATAGATCCACGTATTCTTGACCTCGGCACTAGTTGGAGGTGAGTGGTCAGCTTCACGCCCCGGCTGCTTTAAGAGAACCCGGTACCCATTGGATAGGAGGTTGGGTGGACCTCAGAGCCAGTCTGGATAACATGGAGAAGTGAAAATTCTTGACCCTACGGGGACTCGAACTCCGACCCCTCGACCGTCCAGCCCGTAGTCAGTCGCTATACCGACTCTCACATGCTCACAGAATATGAAAATTAATATTGAGACATCACGTTCTTCCGAAACGCTGTTAAGATTACGCCACGCTTACGTCATCACATTCCTCATATGGTCTGTCTAAAACATACTCTAGGGTACGTCACAGCGTGAGTGAAGAGATATCTTGCGTGTTGAACGAGATCTCCAGTATGGAAATAACATCTAGTTAACTTTCTAATGATGACGTAACGATCTACGTGCCTACTTGACGATAACGCACGTTCAAAGATGCTTTAGACACAGCATAGACACCGCGCTTTATGACTCCCCCACCTCTCACTAGGTGACGTCATTCTCTTACCTGTGCCTCATGATCTTGGGCCTCTGAAGTCCGGGCCCCTCCACGCTGAAACTGCAATCCATCAGGGTCAGAGACAAGGGATTCAGAAAAGAGAAAGTAGCCTGACAGGTCTGATTCACCTGTGGGTTTCCACGAATCTACAACACAAAGACAACTTAAAAGGTAAATGAATAATTGAATTATACAATCCGTGACCTTGCCACTTCATTTGTCTGTTGAGGGTACAGTTACGGCATAAATCTGCTTGCAGGTGTGGTCTAATCCAAGTGACGTAATCGATTATCTACTGAGTTGGTGAACCTGATTGAGTGACGTAATATATTCCGATGAATTGTGTCTGGTTTATTCGCAATCACGTACACCAACACATTGATGACATCAGACTTCCGTATCCACAGGTCAACGTGTTTACTTAGGCACGTTTAATGTTTTTTAACAATTATGTTGTACAGACTTTACTGACACATTTACGTATATATATTACTGACATAAACTTATTTGGTTTTGTATGTTTACATTATACCTCACCTCCATCTGTGACTCGTTTGTCTAGAGAAAATGTAGGAGCCTCGACGTCTCACAACCTTATGGGCTTCCACAGCCTCTTTCAAGGATAGCTTCACCTTGCCTTTGTTTACATTTATGAATTTATTTAATAATTTATACTATTTCTGAATCAATATTTAGAAATGTATGTTTATTGATCATTCAATCACAGACCTTTATTTATCTGTTTACCTATTTATGATGTGTTAAATATCTCAGAGAATGCGGAACCCAGAACCAGAGGGTTGGACATTGCTACTACCAAAACTTACCACTGGACACAATACTGAGTCACTTCCATCAACCTGTAATCTTCAAAGTCTATTTCCCTAAGTTCCATCTTAATGTTATCCTTCTGTCGTCTTCTCGGTAGGGCATAAACCTATCAAAATTATGAATGTATTCATTTCCTGCCCCAAACAGGTCATATACCAAATTTCTGTTTCTCAAAATGTAAACTGAGTACTAAATTCATTTAAGGATAAGACTATGAGGCTGATGTGACAAATATTGTAACAAGAGTCCTACATAAGCGCGCAACCTGAACACAACACCAGTATATACGTGTAACAAGCCCGCCACACAAAATGCAAACACGGAAAATGTGCATAAAAAGGCAAAGGAATCCCTGTAACAGGTCATAGAGGCCCATAGGGTTGTGAGACGTCGAGGCTTAAACATTTTCTCTAAACAATCGGCTCACAGATGGCGGTGAGGTTGTTAGCCTTACGCACCGGCCGCCCTTAACCCCCAGTAAGATTCCTGGTACTCATTTCCGTTAGAGGCTGAGTCGAACCCAGGGCCATAGTGCGGCTGGAAGGATTAAGTCAATGGAGAAAATCCACCTCATCGGGACTCGACCCCGCAACCTTCCATCTTGTAGCATAGTCCCCCCCCCCGGAAAATGTGCATATGTAATACAAATCCAGTATGCGACAACAGATTGCACATATCCTAAGATAACCTGAGTCTAAAGCGCTCATCAAGAGAAACGGTCATTACACAGGACCCAGGGCTATAGGTCTAAATAAAATTAATATAAAATAAGGAAAATAACAAAAAAATACAAATATAACAAGAATAATTAACCAACCAACAGCCCCTTTTTGAGCCATAGCCTTCCTTGGAAAATTCTTCCAGACTGCATCCGGTTTTCACTTCTTTGGATCTCGCAACAATATTTTTTTTTTACAGTGCAAGATCGTTCATTCATCCCCAAAACCTGGAGGACCAGGTCCCTGTTTTTATGTTCCCCAGGAACAGGATGGCCCAGTTACACCCCCAGGCACAGGGTTCCATTTTCGTCGCCTACTACGACTTGCAGGTCTATGGTGGAGGTAATTTTAACTACTTAACTACTCAACTATTTCATATTTTAACTCAATTTAAACCAAATTAGCTATAAAAGAAATTTAAGACTGGTGCAAATTAAAATTTGTTTGTATTGCGAATAACTCATACCCTTCGAAGCACCAGGACAAAGGTTTATATAATCCACAGTATTTCTTTAAGCACATAACTGGAAACCTACATTGTAAACATCAGCATGACCTTCCCCCATTTGTAAACACTGGCCAATGGAAGGGGAACAGCAGACAGAGTTTGGAGTGATTACCTGATGATGGCCAAAAATAGTGGCCGAAACATGCCGTAATGTAGACACTATAATCATAGAATTATACATATATTGTGAGACTGAAACTGAATAAAAGAAAGGAAAGTAACCACAGTCGCTTCACATACTGATGCTGAAATAGAGACAAATACATAGGAGGGCAGACCCAAATTATTTATTAGGTAAATTTGTGTTCTAATATTTCTATCCTAACTCAAGAGACCAGTATCCTCCTTCAGGAATTCAACTAGCGACGAAATTTCATTTTAATAGAATGTAAAAGCCGTTTAACGTTAACACGCCCTCTCCTAAGACAGCTGAATCCAATCCCACCCTCATATCCTATTTATCATCCTCACTCATGGAGCTGAGCCCTTCTTGAGAAGTCGTCAATTGTGCAGCTACTCAAGAATTTCCCAGCATTTTATGGAACCTGAAGGTTCATTACCGTGTTCACAAGAGCCCTCCACTGGTCCCTATCTTGAGCCAGGTCAACACAATCCATACCATCCCATCCTATCTCTCTGAGATCCATTTTAATATTGTCCACCAACCTGCGTCTTGGTCTTCTCAGTGGACTCCTTCCTTCCGGCTTTCCCACCAATGTACTATATTCATTCCTTCTTTCCCCATTCGTGCTACATGCCCTGTCCATCTCATCCTCCTTGTCTTGCTTATTCTAATTATACTTGGAGAAGGGTACAAGCTTACAAGCTCCTCATTTCTTATTTATTTAAGATCCAATTTGATATCATCCTATAACACCCGTAGACCGCCTCTGTGGTCTAGTGGTCAGAGCTTCTGGTTACAGACCCAGAGGTCCGGGTTCGATTCCGGCGCTACCAGATTTTTTGAGAAGTAGTGGGTGTGGAACGTGGTCCACTCAACCTCGTGAGGATAATTGAGGAGCTATTTCAAGGAAACAGCGGCTCCTGTCTAGAAAACCGAGATTAACGGTCGTGTGGATTCGTTGCGCTGACAACGCGACACCCTCTATCCTCTATGGTTGGCACTAATTGCGCCGACAAGCGGCGGTCGCTCGGTCGGTATAGTTCGCTTGCGGACTATAAAACCACGGAGTTTAGTTACTCTAACATCCGTTGATCTCTGTCTCTCACACTTTCCCACTTAACAGCACGTGTACGCTTTCTCCTGCAATAATATTTGGTGAGGGCTGCAGTTCTCTCAGTTTGCTATTTTAAGATTTATCTAGAGTACCTGGATGTTGAGTTTGGGTTTCTGCAGCTGGAAGTCGTCTTCTTCACTCCACGTTTGTTTTGTTTCCCTCACGTTCGCTATGGCATATATCTTGATCAGGCACTTGTCGACCAACTTGTCGATGTACTCACTGGCTGTCAGAGTGATTCGCAATGTTTCTCCTGTAACCAAAATTCATCATCGTTGACCAAAAAAAAACCCTTTTTAGATGATTCTGCCAAACTTGTTTTGGAGTGAGATAGCGTAGGCGGTCCAGCGACTGGCCACGAGCTGCACGACCGGGGGTCTGAGTTTGAGTTCCGGTAAAAAGGTAAAGTTGTCCCTGTGCTTAACTAATTAAGCACTACGTCATGAAGGCGTATGGGGGAGTGGATGTATAGATCCACATTTTCTTGACATCGGCACTGGTTGGAGGTGAGTGGTCAGCGTCACGCCCCAGTCGCTCATGGGGGAGTGGATGTATAGATCCACATTTTCTTGACATTGGCACTGGTTGGAGGTGAGTGGTCAGCGTCACGCCCCAGTCGCTTTACCCCCGGGAAAGAGCACTCGGTACCCATTGTATAGGAGGTTGGGTGAACCCCAGGGCCAGTCTGGACGATTGGATATGAGAAAATTCTTGATCCTACCGGGACTCGAACTCCGACCCCTCTGTCATCCAGCCCATAGCCAGTCGCGAGTCCCGGTAGGATCATGAATTTCCGTTTCTCAACGTCGTCCAGACCAGCCTCCTATCCAATGGGTACCTGGGGCTCTTTCCTCGGGGAGTAAAGCGGCCGGGGTGTGAAGCTGACCGCTCACATCCAGCTATTACCGAGTTCATGAAAATTTGGATCTATACATCCACTCCCCCATACACTTTCATGGCGTAATGCTTAATTAGTTAAGTACAGGGACAACTACACCTTGTCTGAATTAGACCATCCAGTTTTCACTTCTTTGTATTTCACGACATTTTTATGCCGCAAGGCCGTTAGAACTGCAGCCAAACCTCAACTTGGAGGACCAGCTCCCTGTATTTATTTCCCACAGTGATGACAGGGTGGTCCAGTTATACCCCTAGGCAGCGGATTTCCCTTTTGTCGCCCCTTACGCCTCAGAAGGCTACGGTTGAGGTATCCTAACCCGCCTCCACACGGGATTTATCCAAACTTATTTATTTATTAAGCGGCCTCCGTAGTCTAGAGGTAACGTTCCCACCTCATGACTCGTAGTACGCGGGTTCAAATACCCGGCGGAGGTCGTCGAATTTTTAAGGGCGGAAAAATTCAGGGAACAAGTCCTCCGGGAGGGACTTTAAGCCGTGGGTCCCGTGTCGTAGCTTTACGGCACGTAAAAGAACCTCATATCTCCAAAGGAGGTCACTGAGCCAAATTACGGACGTTTCCCGCCCAACAGCAGTCTCTAATACCTCTGGTAGATGGGGGAAGCATTATAGATACCTCTCAGCTAGTAGTGCCGGTCTCGCTGGCTGGGCGGGACTGATGGTAAGCACAAGTACCGGTAGGATATAGAGACTGGTAGAAATCATAGAGGGAAGCACAATGGACCAATACAGGTCTAAGTGCATGGGGAAACCCACCCTCTCCAATAACTAACTAACTATTTATTTATTTATTCATACGTTAGCACATTTGTAGGCGTCACAGCAGTTTGAGAGGATAAAGACATGGCCTTCCCATAACTGCCAATAACTTCACATGCTCAAATTCATGGCAAATAAAGTGATGCTGCCTGTAAGGGTGTCCGTTCATGTATCGACAGACGTACACCCGGATCAGGGAAAGAGTTAACAGAGGAAGAGGGGATTAAGCAGAGACCGAAGTGACAGTCCATTATTTAATACTGAAATTAGAACTTTGAAATTTTTGTACACTAATTTTGATAAGCTGCTCACGGTAGCCGAGCGGTCTAAGGCATGCACTGTCTTCGCTCGCTCGGAAGCCGGGATCGTGGGTTCGGATCTGTTTCCTGTGAGGTACGAACTGAATTCTTATATATTATTCTTATACACTGCCGGTCACGGTAGCCGAGCGGTCTAAGGCATGCACTGTCTTCGCTCGCTCGGAAGCCGGGATCGTGGGTTCGGATCTGTTTCCTGTGAGGTACGAACTGAATTCTTATATATTATTCTTATACACTGCCGGTCACGGTAGCCGAGCGGTCTAAGGCATGCACTGTCTTCGCTCGCTCGGAAGCCGGGATCGTGGGTTCGGATCTGTTTCCTGTGAGGTACGAACTGAATTCTTATATATTATTCTTATACACTGCCGGTCACGGTAGCCGAGCGGTCTAAGGCATGTACTGTCTTCGCTCGCTCGGAAGCCGGGATCGTGGGTTCGAATGCTACACAAGGCATGGATTTTTGGTATGTGTGTGTGTTTATTCTGTGTTTGTCTTGTTCCGTATTTAGGTAGAGGCCTTGCGACGAACTGATCACTCGTCCAAGGTGTCACACCGTCTGTACAAATTATCAGTGAAACTGAGAAAGCAACCCTATGCTGCTCCACAGTGGAAGCAAGCTCGAGAAAATCTGATTAAGATATCTACCATCTGTATAAAATTTCATAAAGACTAAGAAAAAGTTGCTTCATGATCAACAAAATTATTTGTTAAATTAATGTAAAATATGAAAGAAAAATTCAGGCCAAAGTTTATCAAACATAAAAATATTCATGCGCTTAGCACAATAGATAGAGTTTTAGAATAGAATGTGAACCCAAAACACATGAGGAGAAATCTGAGTCTAAAATTAATCGCCCTAAAGATTTTGGTCTCACCTTTACCCCACCTACATTGTATACCTCCCTTCCCCTAAACACAAAAAGTAAATAGAGAGAATCTGTTAAGGGAACAAAGGCAGAACACAATTGACAACAGACTGGAGTGGGAGAAGGCATTTAATGTAAGAGGGAACTGCCAAGCAGACAGGTGGGGGAGAATACGTGTTCATTCTTTCCCAGATCCGACTTTAAGCAGGCGTAAGACATATACATTACATACATGCCACGAGGCATCAGACATTGTACTTACGTTGGTTGGGCTTCACCAGGAATTCCCCGTTGGCTTTCTTGAGCCTGTGCGCTGTGTTTCCTGTGTAGTACACAGAGCAGGCAGATAACATGACAGAGATTGTGCGCGACTTCTCCGACTTGTTCTAGAAAAATAAACGGATTTAGCTGGAAAAACAGCTTGGAAAGTTTGGAAGATCTCGGCAGCAGGAAGACAATATTATAATGAATCTAATAGAAACGCAGGCCGACAGATGGATGGATGGAACTGGCTCAGAACAGATCCCAGATCTGTTTAATGATGATGTCAGTATCTCACATTATATGCGTTAATATTATAAGGTAAGGTAAAGTTGTCCCTGTGCTTAACCAATTAAGCACTACGCCATGAAGGCGTATGGGGGAGTGGATGTGTAGATCCACATATTCTTGACTTCGGCGCTAGCTGGAGGTGACTGGCCAGCTTCACGCCCCGGCCGCTTTACCCCTGAAACAATTGGTTAGGAGGTTGGGTGGACCCCAGAGCCAGTCTGGACTACTTGGAGAAGAGAAAAATCTTGACCATGCGCTATCCCGGTTTCTTTATATGAGGTTAATAAATACAATAATTCAATTAAAATCTTAATTTTGTTTACGTGTATACTCAACAGCCCGAATGCCAATGATAAAGTAAACGGGAGAAGAAGACAGAACCAAATACAAAATAAAAAAAAACTCCGTGGCCTGTAGTCCGTTAGCGAAATATACAGACCGAGCGACCGCCGCATGTTGGCGAAGTTAGTGTGCCAATTTTGGGGATAGAGGGTGTCATGTGGTAAGTCTTTGTGTGCCAATTTTGGGGATAGAGGGTGTCACGTGGTCAGCGCAACGGATCCCCACGGTCGTTAATCTCTAGACCGGAACTGCTATTTCCTTGAAATAGCTCCTCAATTATCCTCATGAGGCTGAGTGGACCCCGTTCCAGACCCACTACTTCTCAGAAAATCTGGTAGCGCCGGAAAACGAACCCGGGACCTCTGGATCTATAGCCAGGAACTCTGACCACTAGACCACAGAGGCGGTCAACAGATACACAATAGTAGTAATAATACAAAGGAAATTGGTTCCAAAGTTTTCAATACGATTTGACCATCCCCAAGAGAGAATAAAATAATTCTAAGCCAAGTTAGAGAAGGGACAAACAATTATGCATCGTTATGTTGCAACAGATATATTAATGGGCGAAATTCTGTCGACTTAAACAATTACGATTACATGCTTATGTTCATCAAATATTTTATTTCGTATTGGGGTTGGGCCCAGACCTGGATGTGCACAGTGAGGCTGAAGTCCTGACCGAAGGGCACCCTGTCCAGCTCAACGAGGTCGAAGTGTACATCTTCGCTGCCCTTCTTGGGGAAGGAGTAGTACTGCTGGGCCCTCTCCACACCTCTTACAGCATTGAACACCGTCAGTCGCTCGGTTTGCGAACCTGAATATAAATCAAGAAGAATATTTTCTATGGATGAGGTACGAACTGTATTGCTGAATGCGTGGATTCTTTGAAGGATGGATGTTTGATAGACTGATGGATGCCTGAATGCTTTAATGTCTGGGTGGGTGGGCTGTTGAATGGCTGAATGGATAGATAATTGTTTGAATGAATTGATTAGGTGATGAATAGATTAATAGATGGATGATTGAGTCGATGGATTGAAGAATGATTCAAAGGATGGATGAAGTAATAATGAAGCAACATTGATACTGAATGGATGGTTTGATGGTTTGATGAATGGATTGATAAATGGGTGTTGAGGGGATGCATGAATGGATTGATCTTTGACTGGATGGTTAAATTGATGGCTGGATGACTGAATTGGTGTTTGAATGGATGGTTAAATTGATGGATGGATGACTGAATTGGTGTTTGAATGGATGGTTAAATTGATGGCTGGATGACTGAATTGGTGTTTGAATGGATGGTTAAACTGATGGATGGTTGGCTGAATTGGTGTTTGAATGGATGGTTAAATTGATGGCTGGATGACTGAATTGGTGTTTGAATGGATGGTTAAACTGATGGATGGTTGGCTGAATTGGTGTTTGAATGGATGGTTAAATTGATGGCTGGATGACTGAATTGGTGTTTGAATGGATGGTTAAACTGATGGATGGTTGGCTGAATTGGTGTTTGAATGGATGGTTAAATTGATGGCTGGATGACTGAATTGGTGTTTGAATGGATGGTTAAACTGATGGATGGTTGGCTGAATTGGTGTTTGAATGGATGGTTAAATTGATGGCTGGATGACTGAATTGGTGTTTGAATGGATGGTTAAACTGATGGATGGTTGGCTGAATTGGTGTTTGAATGGATGGTTAAATTGATGGCTGGATGACTGAATTGGTGTTTGAATGGATGGTTAAACTGATGGATGGTTGGCTGAATTGGTGTTTGAATGGATGGTTAAATTGATGGCTGGATGACTGAATTGGTGTTTGAATGGATGGTTAAACTGATGGATGGTTGGCTGAATTGGTGTTTGAATGGATGGTTAAATTGATGGATGGATGGCTGAATTGGTTTTTGAGTGGATGGTTAAACTGATGGATGGCTGGCTGAATTGGTGTTTGAATGGATTGATGGATGGATGCATGCATGGACGAATGGATGGGTAAATAGCTCAACGTTGGGATAGTGGGTTATACAGCGACTATGTATCAACCGCAAATGTTATTGTCCAGTTATATGAGGACTATGTCATTCAGTAAACCTTAAGGACTTCAGAGGATAAAGGCGTAGCCTACTTCACGGTACTATACTGGAATTCTCCTAAAGGGAGTAAACAAAACTATGAATAAGCTCATCAAGGTAGTCGGTGTAAATTTATTTTGTTACAGCCGTCAATGAGGAGACGATTAGGACTTTTATGTGTATTGAAGTGAACATGAAACAAAATTGCAGAATTATAATTATTTGAATTAAAATTGTGATTCAGAAAACAAAAAATTTTAATGTAATCATTTAACGAAAAATGTAGAGGGAAAGAAATGCTTAATGCAGAAAATACTCAGATATTTTATAGAGTTACTGTACTGAACTTAGAAACAAAAATTTAACTTATATATATTTGTCAAGATAGTGTATAATACCTTCCGGACTTTTATACTGGCCGGTGATATCTTCGATGTCCGAGTCACCTTTATCATCGTCCTTATCATGTCTCTTGGTGACTATTTTTCTTCCAACGCTGTAAGAAATAAACCTTATTAATACAATTTCGACACTAATATATAAAACTTGTGCATGGGAATTATTTTTCTCTGCTAGAATGAAATGTATCCACAAGATAAAGTGCATACTAGTGGCAGTAAATTTACGGTTCCTGACAAATAGTTTATAGTTACATACAGGCCGTTTCTTAGTTCTGACCTCTTGGTTGCACATGAGGGGAAATGACGAGAGTTGCTGCAATAAGTAGTGGGGAAGTGACAGCAACTCAACAGCGAGAGCGGGGAAGGGAGGGAAGGTGACACTCTGTAACTAAGGTCCTGCTATAACCCACAATCTCTACCCCAGTCAGTGGAAACAACCAGATCCATCGCGCCCTCTGCTGAGAGCGACCAGGCCGAAGAATATGGCCAGTACTAGAGTGACGGGATAATTCAAACAAATAAATCTGAGACGTCTATAGTACATACTGATACTTGTTGATGCGCAGGGGTGAGAAACCCCAATCCGACGTTTCGTCCTCTTGAAAGTGACACACATCAGCGTTAACTTCTGAGAAGACGAAAGGAGTATCGTACGAGAATCCCACTTCTCCGCGACGCACTGCCTCCAGAGAGGCTGGACCGCAGCGATAGATCGCTGAAAATATATCGTCAGTCACAGACAACCCAGTTCTACCAACTTTAGATTTATTCCTATCACTGGCGTTTATGTTATTGGCTCTAGATATGGCTCTAACAAAACTGAATCGGGATCGAACCCGGGCCGTCGCGGTGGGAAGCCAGCGACTAACCGCTTGAGCTATGGCGGGGCAAATTTTGCTTTAATACCTCGAGGAAGAAATTTGTTTTCGGGAATTTTATAAGAATTCACATTCTAGCGGCGATCGGTATTAAAGGGTATGACCTAGTGTGGTTGGTAGATAGTTACCAACGTTTCGGAGCAACCTGCTGTTTCCATCTTATAAGAAGAATAGTGAAGATGGAAGTAGCATTCTCCTCCGAAACGTTAGACTATACGGTATACTGTAATAACCCATAGGACATCAGCCATTATCCGTGACAACTAGTCGCAAGGACAAGACGTGTCACTGAACCTAACAATCGTGGCATGAATGCGTACAGAAGTGGCTACAAGTTCAGGCCGCATTTATCCCGATACACGACGGACAGGTGGCTGGGCGAACCCCTTGTTTGGGCGTGGCAGAGAAACATCTCGGCTACTGTCATGAACTGAACTCCGGTCATCAAGCAGAAACCACTCACTTTACTGATTTTCTTAATCGCGGTCCGAGATGGGGATAAACAGTCAGCTTCAGACTCCGCCTGCTTTACCCACGGTACTCAATTGCTATGAGGCTGGCTGGATTTCAGGTTCTCACATCGGTGGTTATGAAGATATAACGCCGTGTAGTCCGTAGAGAATCAACAGACGTTTCGGAGGAACATATAGGCTCCACCTTCAAGGTCGAATAAGGCGAAGTAGATACCAGCGTGAAAGCAAGTAGCAACCTAAAGATGGAGGCGATATGTTGCTCCGAATGATCAAGTCAAGGAGGATGAAATGGGCAGGGCGTGTAGCACGAATGTGGGCGAAGATGGATGCATACAGGATATTGGCGGAAAAAGCCAGAAGGAGAGAAGCCACTAGGAGGACCAGGACTCAGGTGGGTGGACGCTACTGAAATGGATGTTAGAGAGACAGGATGGGGTGGCATTGACTGGATCGATCTGGCTCAGGATAGGGACACGTGGAAGGCTCTTGTGAACACGGTAATGAACCTTCAGGTTCCATAAATTGCTGAGAAGTTCTTGTGTGGTCTCACCATTCGCGGCTTCAGGGCTCAGCTCCATAAAGTTAGTCTAGTTCTGTTCCTCCGAAACGTCTGTTGACTTTCAACGGACTACACGGTATTATATCTCAGTGCTGGTCTAGACATGATGAAGAAGAGAGAGGATCTATGCCCATAGTTATTCATTTTACTGAATGGGTACTGGCTCACTCCTTAGACAAAGAATAATATAAAATGAATCTTGGTCCAGAGATGGGTTCTTGTGAGCACGGCGAGCGATAGCGTCTACTTACCATCACTAGCTTCTTGGGGTGTAGCGTCTATGATTTGCCAACCACCGTACCCAGCGGGCAGATCCGGTCGGGTCATCCACACTTCGTTCCACACGTGGAAGTTCCAGCATGAATCAAAGCAGTCACCTTCTGGGCCACCCTCTATCTCTTGGCCATCCCGATCGAAGTATTTATCGACGGTAAGCGAGGCGTTTGTGTCGTGCGCAGACACGTAGTTCGTAACGGAGCGGCAAGGGATGCCCAGAGCCCGGCATACTGCAAATAACGTCAACATCAGTTTAACTTCTTGTAATGAAACAGAGTGGAATTACTGAGGAGATCCAAACATACGAGTATGTGTACAGGGCACGCGGTAGCGTACTTAGTTGAGGCACTATGCTACAAGCCGGAACCTCGCGAGTTCCATTCCGCAGGAGGTTATTAGATTTTCCAACTGACCTAATCCTTCCAGTGACCAGATTTTCTGAGAAGTAGTGGGTCTGGAACGGGGTCAACTCAGCCTCGCGAGGATAATTGAGGAGCTATTTCAAGGATATAGCAGCTCCGGTCTAGAAAACCAAGATTATCGGCCGTGGGGATCCGTTGGGCTGAACACCTTTGCAGAAGTCGGCGGTCGCTCAGTTGGTATAGTTCGCTTGCGGACTACATGCCACATAGTTAACCCTTCCAGCTGCACTATGGCCCAGGGGTCGACTCAGCCTCTAACGGAAATGAGTACCAGGAATCTTCCTGGGGCGTAAAGGGCGGCTAGTGCGTAAGTCTGACAACCTCACCGCCATCTGTGAGCCGATTGTCTAGAAAATGTGGGAGCCTCGACGTCTCAAACCCTATAGGCCTTCACGGCCTGTTACATGGATAGGTTTACATTTTTTAAGGTAAAATTGTCCCTGTGCTTAATTAATTAAGCATCATGCCTTCAAGATGTATGAGTGTATGGAGGTATAACTGCACCATTTTTGACGTCGGCACTAGATGGGGTTAGTGGTCAGCTTCACGCCCCTGCCGCTTTAACCCCGGGGAAAAGAGCCCCCCGGTATCCAATGGATAGGAGGCTGGGGCGCCCCAGAGACAGTCTGGATTCTATGTCCTTATGATTTAGTTCTTAATTACGCAGAAGGCCATCTTTATCCATATTTTTTTACCCCCTTTAATTACACACTTATTCTTTGATACAAAGAGAAGTCTGCACATGCGCCTAGGGCAGTACTTCTCAACCGCCGGGCGGCGGCCCAGTAGTGGGCCCTGGCATCAGTTTTACTGGGCCGCGAGAGGCTCTTCTGGAATTTGTCATTTTAATTTTCTAAGCACATTTCATGGATAAATATTTTATAGTGGAAATATTCTGAGGAGAACAATATTTGTGTCGAGAAGCTCAGCCACAGAACACCTAAATCTGTGAGCAAATGTCAGTGACCAAGCCGCATATTTTTAAACATGGAAGTATTCATGAATGATCGCGAATTTTCAGACATCCAAATCTTTCAACATTCGGGAAAGGCAATACCGATGTTTATGACCAGTCATAAAAATTGCCTGCAAGCCGATTACAACACTGGGCGGCATATACTCTGTTCTCAGAACTGAGCGAAATAACATCTGTGTTGCAAATGTCAGTGACCAATCAGCACGGAAATATAAAGAAAATGTTTCCACTGAAATTGAAGATCAAGGCAGTCTGTATCCGGTTCTCAAATCTAGTAATACTGAATACTGTTTCTTCGCTGAATTGAGAATTGAGAGATTCATACATTTTTACTTATCAAATTATATACTTTACATATATAATTATTTGGCGTGTGTATGTGCTAATAAGTGTTTCGCCGGCAAGTTAACATCCTTCTGCTTCGTCCTCTACTCAGCTGACTTCTATGGTGAGTTACAATGCATAAATATTTTTCTCACTGCCGTTTTTTTTCAAACCAACATAATTAAAATCAATTTAATAACACAATAATCAATTTTACGCTGAATAACATAAGTTTTTGGTGATCAGCACGGGATATGTCAATGAAAATTAACACAAATTAATTTAGTGATGTTGGACTGAGGAAACTACAAAATGCTACAAGATATCATTAGTCAAGTGATTGATAACTAATTTAAACGTAATTTTATGTTTGTCATCATGCCACACCGTATACATAAGTGTACTAATACTCTTTATGATTATGCTATAATTAATTACTAATATTACGTTAGCTTAATGCATGAACTTTAACAAAACTGGAAAGGTATTTACGAGTAAATTTGTTGGGACTGGGCCCTCGTCTTATAAAAAAAGAACTTACTTGGCCGCGGTCTCATAAACGTTGAGAACCACTGGCCTAGGGAACTCACCAGTGACGACAACGGCGGAGAACACCCAGCACTGTCCGTACTTGACTGGACGGCCACCATCCTTGAGATATTGTTCAAAGATGGCGACACTTCCTGTCCAAGAGTGCGGGGCTGTCCCAGTCTCGAACTTACCGTCCCAGCAGCCCACCAATAAACCATTATCGTCATTTGCATTAATCTGGAAAACAACAATAAGTGGGAATGTATTCCCAAACGCGTTCTTTGTGAATTTATACAGGCTTATATCCACTTAACTCTATGAAGCCGGGTCCTTATTAGGAAGTCGTCAGTCGCTCACTACTCGTGATTTTCCCAACATTTTATAGAATACGAAGGTTTATTGCCGTGTACACAAACGCCGGCTTGCATCAATGCCATTAATGTTCATTTACACCCTAATTCTGACAACAAAAACGTATTACGGGTAAACTGAGGCCGTGCTGAGAAGTCAAGTGGCTCGACACCCTTCCATATCTCCCTCACAGCGCAGGCGCGAGAGCACAGGCGACCCAGGTGGTCATGTAAGGTTCCTTCATTTTATGATCGCCATATTTTGCAAGCCATCTATTCACTTGCTTTCATCTTTTTCGTTAAATTAAAACTAATTTATATTGATATTATGTGCATTACTTTACCACTAACTGACATTAATCTTAAACGTGTCAAGCAACAATGAGACAGACTCTTTTAAGAATTACGACATTCACTTCGTCTCACTGTCCCTAAAAATCGTGTTCCTTCCTGCCCCTCGGCGCTACAGCTGAGGGCGAGCGTTGGTCTCCTGAACAAACCGCCTCCATTCTTCCTCTCCATCCTTTGTACTTCCTCCAACCTTCTCAGCTCCTTCGCTGATGACGATTTCCGTTCAGTCTATCCGTCCGAGGCTGATTATCTGTTTCTGAACAATTTAATTTTTACGCTGTGAAGGCAGCCTCATGCCCAACCACCAACCTGGAGAACCAGGGTATCCCTCTTCTTCTGGCTCCTGCCCCTTGACATGTCCGACATGGGTGACCCTACCAGTAGCTACGCTACCGCCGGCAGAACTCTCAGGATCTCAGGAGCACTCAAACCCCACCACCACGATAAGGTGAAGACACCATCGGTGTGGACATCGTGTTACTCATATTAACTATGATGAATTATTGATAAAGTTTATATATTTTAACTGTAGAGGGGGGGATTATTTCTTGGGGCGGCAATTAAGGCTTGGGACGGGTTTCCCCCCCACTAGTTCTCACACTCTCCCTTCAGGATGCTTCAGTTTATTTCCCTCGAGTTGTCCAGCCGTTCTGCTCATATGAATGTCGGTAGTTATAACCCTCGTTAGTTAGGAAAGCTTTGGGCTGGTTTCCAGGGGACATAGGAAACTGGGGGGAGATCAACAGCAGAAAAAAAGGGGAAATTCAATAGCACCCCCTCCCGCCATTCAGGGGACTTGTTTCCGTGGCCTCAGTATAGAAAACAGCACACAAGAAAACCTGACACTAATTTATTTTTCCTATGTTTTCGTTTGTTCTGTGTTTGTGTTATCCTGTGTAGGTATTGGCCTTGCGACAGGCCTGATCCTCCGTCCAAGGAATCATTCAGACTGTCTATATGATTAAGAAACTAAAGTGAAACGAAACTTTTAACATATGCGCTCTGCTCTAAAGGGAGCAACAGTTAATATTTTTTTTAGATCTATTTTAATATGATCCTCCCATCAATGCCTAGGCTTCGAAAATGGTGTTTTCCCTTTAGATTTAGCTGTTAAATCTTGGTGTGCATTTCTAGTCCACCTAATTCACACAGCTAACATCACAGTCCACGTATATCTAATCTACTTTCCGACAAAATAATTGTCTTAATGTGGAAAGAAAACCCACGAGTCTATGAACAAGAATTTACATCTTGATGGTACTTACTACGGCGGAAATGGCCCGCGCCATCTGGACGGGATTTCCGCGATCCGCGTGTTTCAGTTTGGACAGTTCGAGGAGGTACATGATGGCCGGAAGTACAACATCGTCGAACTGACCAAAAATCCAGCGTTTCCCTTCGGGCCGCCTGGAGGAACCCGTCCACACTTTGCCGCTCTCGTTGAGAACATACTCCCACCTCTCCTCCTCCCCGTCCAAGTGTACGGCGTCATCTGCGAGAGGGAAGGGGGAAACATAACAGAGAACAAGAGCACAAACTTCTACGTCTACAGTCAATCATTCTTTCTTTCTCTCTCTCCTCTTTCCTTATTTCACTATTTCTCCGTGGTATGCTACAAGTCGGAATGTAGCGGGTTCGATTCCCGATTAGGTCATTGGATTTTTCAATTGATCTAATCCTTCCAGCCGCACTATGGCCATGGGATCGAATCAGCCTCTAACGGAATTGAGTACCAAGAATCTTCCTGGGGGTAAAGGGCGGCCGGCGCGTAAGGCTGACAACCTCACTGCCATCTGTGAGCTGATTGTCTAGAGAAAATGAGGGAGCCTCGACGTCTCACAAACCTATGAACCTCCGCGGCCTGTTACAGGGATAGCTTTACCTATGTTTCTTTACTTCTTTTGTTTTCTCTTTCCTTATTTTTTCTTCCCCAATTTCCTTTCTTTTTTTAGTTGTACGCTCACAAGTCCCTGTCCTGAACAACATAAATTCAGAAAACAATTTCCCGTCCAATTTATTTGAGATGCATTTTAATATTATTCTTCCATCTAAGTCTAAGGCTTCTAAACGGTCCTTTCTTGCAGTTTTTCTTAACGAAATTTACACGCAGTCATCTTCGCTCCATTCGTGCTATATGCCTAGTCCAGCTCGTCTTTATTCATATATTCATTCTAATTATAGCTGGTGAGGAATACAAATTCTGAAGGTCTTCACTGTGTAATTTTCGCTATCCTCCCGTTCCTTCACAATTTATAATATAAAACTCTAATAATTACTATGTTTCGAAGACTGGTTTTGTGTCTATCTTCAGGCAAAACACAAATAGAGAAGTCTACTCTGTAGGGCCCGTTAGACAGCAGAGCTAAACTCTGTCTAAAATATCTTTGAGGTTATGTCATCACCGGAGACTTACTTCCATGGTTACGTCATCATTACAGAGTTACAAGATTCTGTTTTCAACATACAGAAGTAAGGTGAAACTATCACTGTAACAAGCCATGGAGAACCATAGGGTTGTGAGACGTTGAGGGCCCCACATTATCTAGACAATCGGCTCACAGATTACGGTTTATGAGTACAAAAATCGTCACACTGGAAATCCCAGTCAACGCGGAAAAATTTTGTTTCATAAGGTTGCCTACTCAAGGTGTGACGTGCACTGGTTAAATGTTTTTGACAGAGTTCGCGAATGAAGACTGACATTGTCTGCCTCACCCTTGCACCATGGATTGAAGAGCACGTAGATGTCCTCCTCGCACTGGAAATCGTTCCTGGCGTCCCTCCTGCCGGTGCGGTTTGTCTGTATGTTGCATCGCCATATTCCGACCTGCGCTGAAGCTGGAATTTGCACCTGCGCAATTGCATACATTGCTTAAACACCGAAGTAACTTAGCAATTACAGTAGCTAAATCAAGAATTATGAAAACCCCCAACAAAACTTCCAGGGCATGGGCCAATCCAGCCCCCATGAAGTCAAACGTTTATGATCTGTTTCTATCACACATGACATCCGCAACCATTAGTTTGAGGTTCACATCCAACTTAGTCTTTTGTGCATAATGTAGCGTATTGCCACATGATGGAGTGATTATAGACGGGGTTTGGGTTGGTACTTGGATTTATTGCATATTTGATACAGCGCGTGAGCACACTTTACAACTCACTATTATAAACACACGCACACACTAGTGATTTGTGAATTGCAGGAATTGTTTTCTATGTGGTCCGGACCATGCCCATTGCTAGTCAACGGCTCCCTAAACATATTCCCGCAGAAGCAAACGCGCGGAAAAATAGGACATCTATTGCTATGCAATGGCGCGGTAAAGATGCTTTGTCAACAATATAGGCTGTTTTCTGTGGGATCCGAGCAAAGTGGTTATATGAGAGTCGAGTTCCGAAGCGAGCAGTTGTGGAAGTACAGAATGAGAATTAAAGGAATACAAAGGAGTACAACTGAGTTAGCCTGAGAATAGAAGACTTGGTGTGTGCTGTAGTTAGAGTGCGATTGTTATAAATCCGTTGCCAGGATATGACTAGTGAAGACTGAGAAAACTTAGCGTATCCTAGTGATTTGTGAAGTGGGTAGAGTAGCGATAGCGCTATAAACGATTGTCATTAAGGGAGATTGTAAAAGAAGGTGTTAATAAAACCTATCATCCAATCCAATTATTAGTCACGCAAACCCCGGATACGTGAAAATACGCTGTTGGGGCTTTTTTTTTCCCGTAAGGTTTGTACATAATGCAGTGCAGTAGACGGACTTTACCTGAAACGTGACTGTGTTACCATCCTGGTGATGTATCCTCACATCCCATCTGTTCTTGTCGCTTGTCAATTCCTTTTGGTCCGTAACAGGCAAAATCACACGTGTTCCTTTTGTTACTGTCGGCTTCGGACCTAGGGTCAGACATCACAACAAGCAGTTTTTTTCTTCTGCATCACAGAACAAGTTATAGGTTAATTGTAAGTTTTAGGGTGTCACGTGCTTAATTAAGCCACACGCCATGAATACACATGGGGAGGTGAACGCATGGTTTTATTCATTCCTTACCTCGATCCTAGACGCAGTGTAGTTACCATCAAGCCCCGGCTACTTTAACTCTAAGGAAGATCCCCTATACCGAATGAATATGTGTCTGGGTGGGCCCCAAATGCCTTATTATAAACCGAAATAAAATAAAATGGATAATAATTAATTTGTATGTTTTATTTTAATGTTTCTACATAAAATTCAGTAAGTTAAAGTGTCCGTAACTGATGGGAGCAAGCATTTATCAAGCTTAGTCCGGCTTTAATTTCTTCCTGAAAGTAAATCTGTTGGTTATTGCCCTTCTTACTACAGTAAAAATTCGCTAATTTGAACCATCAGCGGGAAAGAGTCCGAATTAGTATAAATTCTGAATTACAAAATATAAAAATATGAAAATATTTTCGAGATATAATTCATAAAACAACCGCCTCTGTGGTCTAGTGGTCAGAGTTCCTGGTTACAGATCCTGAGGTCCGGGTTCAATTCCCGGGACTACCAGATTATCTGAGAGAAGTGGGACAGGAACGGGGTCCACTCAGCCTCGTGATGATAATTGAGGAGTTATTTCAAGGTAATAGCGGCTCCGGTCTAGAAAACCGAGATTAACGGCCGTGGGGATCAGTTGAGCTGACCACGTGACATCCTCTATCCGCAAAAGTTGGCACTAACTTCGCCGACAAGTGGCGGTCGCTCGGTCAGTATAGTTCGCTTGCGGACTAAAGTCACGGAGTTTAATTTAATACATAAAAACAGGAGCAAGTATTCACAATTAAACAAAATTCGTTAACTCAGTTGGCATTAGAACAACAATATATATGACTGTATGACGAAAAGAAACAGAAAATGCTGTGAAAATATTTATATTCAAAATAAAATTAAATAAAACTAATTAAAATCAAATAGAAGGCGAAAAAATAATATTTTTAAGGTAATGAAGAATACGGACTTCAAGCTCGACGTTTCGGAGAAACATATCGAAGTGTGAGCCAAGCAGGAAGCAGAGCTATAATCAAACTTCGATTAATATATTAAACAGTAATAAGTGAAAACATGTTATTTGCCTTCGAAGACTTCGTAATGACACATAGCAATAAAATTATTTCTAATAAGCATATTTTTGGAAATAAACAAGGAAATATGACAAATTACATATAACCCTTAAGATAACCTCAGAAGGTCAGGTCGATGTACAGCATATTTCATCTTTTATATACTTTGCTGCGTTTGTGATGGAGTGAGTTGAGGATTGCTTCACATGAACACTCACGTCCATTGATTCGTAAACTATTTGCAAACCGGAAACCTATGCCACAATCACTGACAACTACAAAATATGCATCATTCATTTAGCAATGGAATTAACAATGCAAAAATATAAACACGTGGCAAATAATAAGCTCTGCAAGAATATTGCGCTATCTAATTTCCTTTAAATACAGGTTAATTCGTAAGTCCCTCCGGAAACCCCGAGAATAATTTAGAATCACTCTGTAGATCAACTACATAGATACAAGGGTACTCACATACTCACTCACTCACTCACTCATGGAGCTGAGCCCTTCTGGAGGAGCCGCCAGTTGAGCAGCTACTCAAGAATTTCCCAACATTTTGTGGAACCCGAAAGTTCATTACCGTGTTCACAAGAGCACTCTACTGGTCCCTATCCTGAGCCAGACCAATCCAATCCATACCATCCCATCCTATCTCATATCTCTCTAAGATCCATTTTAATATTGTCCACCCACCTACGTCTTGGTCTTCCTTCTGGCTTTCGCACCAATATCCTACATGCATTCATTCTATCCCCCATCCGAGCTACATGCCCTGTCCATCTCATCTTCCTTGACTTGATCATTCTAATTATATTTGGAGAAAAGCACAAGTTATGGACTACAAGGTTACTGTGATTCTGAATTAGTGTCGGGGTTTCCGGAGGGACTTATGATTATCCTGTATTTCGGTGTATGCCGTTAAGGGGCTCTCATGTTAGCAGCGAGAGTAACAGTCATTCGAAATATTTGTAAGAACCTTGGGGTCATCGGCTGTGACGAATGACCTGCTGTTCCAGTGATAACACAGAAATGATAAGACGGATGGATATATGGAGCATTTCATGACGATGTCATAATCTAGAAAGATTTCTGTCTTCTAGGATAAAATGCGGTGCAGTCCGCCGAAAGTCAACTGACGTTTCGGAATAACACGTCGCCTCCATCTTCAGGGCCGAAGAATAAGCCAAGCATGAAACCAACGTGAAAACAGTTCTGCTTGTCACGTGTTTTCATGCTGACTTATTCCTCGGCCCTGAAGATGGAGGCGATATTTTCGTTCAAAACATCGGTTAGCTCTCAACGGACTACATGGTATTACGTATATACCCCAGAAGATAAAACTCTTTCTAAGTACCGCTGTGAGAACCTCAAATCCTACGTATCTGTCAGTAACTTCACTAAATTATTTCTTCATGGGGTGAGACTGAGTCCACTCGGTACTTCGGCCCCGGTTTGGCCTATTGTACCAGCCCCAGATGATGATGATGATGATGATGATGATGACGATGATTATAGAACAATCGGTGGGATGAATATTGCCTGGGAAAACAGAATTATTCGGAGAGAACCTGCCACAGCACCATTTAGTACAACACAAATTCCACATAACCTGATGTGAGTTCGAACCCGGTTCGCCGCGGTGGGAAGCCGGTTACCAACCGCCTGAGCTGTGGCACGGCTAGCTAGACTGCTCAGTGTAGATGGGAGAATGAATGGTGAACTGGAAGGGATACTATCCCAGAATTTTCATGGAGAGACTGAGGAAAATTACGATAATCCTCAGTAAGAATAGCCAGTGTTCCGACCGAGATTGAAACCAAGCACCTCCCAAATACAAGTCAGAAACGTTACCGTTTGTTGCAACTTGTTGAGTTCCGGTTTCCCATAATGCCTTGGTCCCATCAACCCATCAACCCATCAATCCCTCAACCCTCTGGCGAGGGATAGCTTCGTGTTTTCTGAAGAGGAAATGAAGGAGTCGCTCCTGGGGCTCAGTTTCCACTCACCGAAACCGAACTGTAATCGAATGACGTCCTCGACAATGTCGAATTGCCTATCGAATCGAACGGCTAAGAAGAAGGGTAATCCCCTGCGAAAGATGGGAGTTGCCGTGGGATCTTCAACCAGTTCGAACTGATCTGTGTGATGATCCTTTGCGTTATCCCGGGCGTAGAACCCGGTCAAGTCCACCTTCAATGGACTGCTCTGGGGCTGAACACCTGGAAGTAAATCAAAATATTGTTAGAAAGACCGGGATAAGATCCCCGTTAATGATACGAGTGGGATAGACAGTGACTCTTAATACTAGTTTTTTTTTTAGTTTCTTGGGATGGGGTGAGATTGAGTTTACTTGGTACGACGGCCACTGTTTGGCCTATTGTACCCGCCCCGTATGATAGATGAGTATGGAGCACTTGGCAGAATAAGAATTTGCAGGGGAAACAGAAGTACTCGGAGAAAACCTGGTACGGATATCATGACAGCTGAGCCTATCTCAACGGAATACCTCATACATCATTCCCATTCGTCTGTGGGTCTATACGTATATCCCCCTAATTTTGCTAGGCAACGGCTCAGTAAAAATGTTACCGGGGCAACGAATACACACGCAACAAAAAAAGAATTGTTGGACGCGTCGTTTTCTATGCGGTCCGCATCGTATCAAAGAAAGTAGGGGATTAGTTCTCCTCAGAACATCTTGTTCTGATGAGGTATATATTTTTCAATTTTCCTAATACTTCCAGCCGCACTGTAGCCCTGGAGTCGACTCAACCTCTAACTGAAATGAGTACCAGGAATCTTCCTGAGTGTCAAGTTCTGCCGGCACGTAAGGCTGACAACCTCACCGCCATCTGTGAGATGATTGTCTAGAGAAAATATGGGAGCCTCAACGTCTCACAACCCCATGGGCTCCACGGCCTGTTACAGGGACAGATTTACCTCTTTTCCCTTACGTAGTGGAACTTTCTCTTCGTCTCCAAGTTTAAAATGACGCTACATCAAACACAGCTCCCTGTCTCGTTGGTAAAGGGAGCCTGCTTTTCCCTGGGACTGATGCAGCCGGAGCGAAATACTGACCACATCTCCGACGTTGGAATACGTGGAGTTACGTATGTGTCCACTCTCCCCATGCTAGAGAATGGCAAGAAGTACTGCTTATCCTGCGCACCTGGACTGCTCACGGCGTTCTCAGCTTCCCGCCGCCGGTTGTACTGCGACCCGAAGTTTGTCATCATGTTCCGCACATAATTTCGGTATTCCCCGGAGTTCCAGACATCAGAGGTTCCGGTTCCGGCGGCATTAGGCCTCGCCATTGTTGCTTCTTGTCACGCTGAACTGCAGAACTGCAAGGATATAATGCCGTATAGAGTCCGTTGAAATTCAACTAACGTTTCGGAGGAACATATCTCCTCCATCTTCAGGTTCAAAGAAAAACCAAGCAAGAAACCAGCGTGAAGTGTGTATCATAAATAGCAGGGAACCTATTAAATTAATCTGTGTTCATTTCACCATGTTAGTTGAGTCCCTTGTCACCATGGCATGGCGCGTCCTCAGGTTGCGGATAGAGGAGACGCCTTCTAGATATGGAGGGTAGTTGCGAATATATTGAATAAGCAGTCGCGACAGCCGACAAGGTGTGGTCCTCCAGCTTAGGGGTTGGGCGTGGGGCTAACAATTCCTCACCGTAAAAATATCAGCTTGTTATGAAAATTTGCAAGACGCCTCGGATGGCTCTTGTTAACACGGTAATGACCTTCGGGTTCTATAAAATGCTGGGAAGTTCTTGAGTAGCTGCACAATTGGTAGCTTCTCAAGAAGGGCTCAGCTCCATGAGTGAGTCAGTTCATTTCACTATTATAACCTATGTGTTATTAAGCTTATTATTATTATTATTATTATTATTATTATTATTATTATTTCTTTATTAGTGGCTTACTAGTGCTCTAATGATACTACTGCTGCTGCTAATATTACTGCTATTGTGTGTCTGCATCATCTCTGACGTGACATCATCATCAGATAGTGACATAAAACGTTACGTCACTATTATACACTTATTAGATTATATTTTTTAACATACTACACAAACCAATGACTCTATTCGAGATATATGGTTGAACACAAAGGGTTCTTCTAGGATTTGAGGTTTTTACAGCGGTGGTTATGATGAATTATATCCAAGAAGACAGAACTCTTCACACAGAATTCTTCTTCTACTCAATGCATGACGTAACCTCAAAGATGTATCAGACAAAGTTTACTATTATCGTTCTACTGTTACTGCTACTGTTACTCCTGCTGCTACTGCCACTGCTGTTACTACTGATACAGCTACTACTAGCAAATGGCTTTAAATACCATTCAGATTCCTTAATTAAGCATCTGAGAGCATAAATCAGAAATGTGGCTATATAACCTCTAGCAAAGAGAAGGTTAATTCATAGCCTGTCCGCACCCCGTTAATGATTGCGGGTGTTCCACATATATGTAAATCTGTAGGACATTCCTCTGCTGGCAAGAATTTATTGTACATAATTGCGCAGATACGTAAGTCCATAAATCAGCCAAGAAACTTAATGTCATGTGACACTGGTCCGAGGTCAAGTTCAAGTAACATCAAATGTCAGTGGAAGGACTTCTGGTTGTGTTTATGTGGTTTTGTTCCGATGGTTCTTGTTTTCTTTTTCGTTTTATATCTTGACCGAGCCGCATTTGCATCACAACTGTTATATAACTACGCCTGCGCATTGAGCATGCTTATTTCCGCGTTGATGTTTAATGTCTTATTAAACGGCGTCCACGAATTTGTCTTTATTTGTATTCAATGCGATGTAACAGTTGGCACACCTGATAAGTATTCGGGAACTTGGAGAAGTTTTTGTGGTTTCTCTCATTCCACACCATTTGAAAGTATTTCGTATTTCTCCTATGCGTGTTACATGACTCGCCCATTTCATCCCCATCGTTCGAACACCGTACTAATTCACATTCGGTGAAATACACTAATAATAACGTTATTCATACATTAATAATAAATTGTATCTCTGTCGTTTTGCACCTGACATGTTCATTATCTTTGCAAGGCAGATCTGTATATGCAGCAAACAGAAATCATTGAGATGCTTGCTATTTTATTCCTACTGTTAGCAAAGTTCTCCTTGTGCTTAATTAAGCACCATAACATGAAGACGTGTAAAGGAATGGGTATAGGGTCCGGCAGGGTGGATAGATGGGTATTTCCCTTCCAGAACATCTTGAAACAAATTAAAAATTGAAGAATTAAACATCGGTACACCAGATACTAACACCAAACGCCAAAAATATTTTAAAACATATTCTTCTATCCAGACTATTGCAAGGCGATCAGTAAAATAACAGAGTGGACCGAAAGTAATTTGATATAAAACGTTCTCTCGCATTAAGGGCAATGCTCAGCTATAAACCTGCCAGTCAATTTGTAGAACTGTATCAGAGATTTGTGAGTTGTGCACTAAACGCGGTGGATCTCATTTTGGAAAATATTTGTAAATTCGGTATCTGTAATAAAAAAATTTCTAACGCATTTCAGTAAGCATATTACTATAAAACTCCGTGATTTTAATCCGCAAGCGAACTATACCGACTGAGCCATCGCCGTTTGTCGGCGAAGTTAGTACAAACTTTAGCGGATAGAGGGAGTCGCGGGGTCAGCGCAACGGATCCCCACGGCCGTTAATTTAGGTCTTCTAGACCGGAGCCGCTATTTCCTTGAAATATCTCCTCAATTATCATCACGAGGCTGGGTGGACCCTGTTCCAGACCCACTACTTCTCAGAAAAAAACCTGGTAACGCCGGGAATCGAGCCCGGACCTCTGATTCTGTAGCCAGGAACGCTGACCACTAGACCACAGAGGCGGTCTGTTGAGACACAATGCTGCAAGCCGGAAGGTCGCACTCTGTAGCCTTAAGCAGCTTAAATGTAAGCGTAGAGGAACATTTTCTGATTGATCCCCTTGGAACATATATTGGTTGAGTGGAGGTAGAGCTCCATGCATTCTTGATCCCGGTATTAGACTGAGATGGCCAGTTTCACGCCCCGACCACTTTACTCTCCGAGGAAACAATGATGCTGAGTCGGCCCCAGAGCCTGTCTGGACACTGGAGAGTAGAGAAAAATCTCCGCTCCCGCTGAGAATTGAACCCCGGTTCCTCGGTCCTTGTACTAGTAAAAGAAGATAAAGCTATCCCTGTAACAGGCTGTGGAGTTCAATACGGTTGTGAGACGTTGAGGCTCTCATATTTTCTAGACATTCGGCTCACAGATGGCTGTGAGGTTGTCAGACTTACGCACCGGCCGCCCTTTACCCCCAGGAAGATTCCTGGTACTCATTTTTGTTAGAGGCTGAGTCGGCCCCAGGGCCATAGTGCGGCTGGAAGGATTAAGTAAATTGAGAAAGTCCAGTGACCTCATTAGGACCCGAACCCGAGACCTTCCGGCTTGTAGCATAGTGCCCTTCCTTCTAGTGTACTAGTAGCAAAGTTCAACCAAGCAAATATATGTTTGTAATTTTACAACTGTCACGTTTCAGTGGTAACCTACCGAAATTAGTTTACAGTCACTTACGTAACGGCGCGTGGAAGCCAGACGCTTCGCAGATATCAACTGCTGAAAATGCCTGCGAAGCGGCGGCATAAATACGTGTACATGCGCGGCAAGCCCGTCTGTCTGTACATTTTGTTCTCTTTGCAACAAATGTTCATGGGAAACTTGCTCCTTCCCTCTTTGCTCTAACGTTTTATTTGTTTGCGCTTCATTTAACGGCGTTATCGGTAACTCCCGTTAGTGCTGAAAATTAGTACGATTAACGAATGAATTGAGGAGGATGTTGAGGGAAAGCGGTAAAGGTACGGTAAAAGGTAACGCCATGAAGACATGGAGGAGTGGAGGTATAGTGCCATAATTTTTGACTTCGGCACTAGATAGGGGTGAGTGGTCAGCTTCACCCTCCGGCCTTTTTGCCCCAGGGGAAGAGTCCGAGGCATCCACTGGATAGGACGCTGGGTGTGCCCCAGAGCCGGTGTGGACGCTGTGGAGAAGGGAAAAATTTTGCCCCTGTCTGGAATCGAACCCCGGCAGTCCAGCCCATAGTTGAAGAAAGAGGTAGTGGAATAATTGGCCGCGCCATATCTCAAGCGGTTAGTCGCTGGCTTCCCACCGCGGCGACCCGGGTTCGATCCCGGGTATGGTCAAGTAGGATTTGTGGTGGACAAAGTGGCGCTGGGGCAGGTTTTCTCCGAGTACTTCGGTTTCCTCTGCCAATCTTCATTCCACCAATTGCTCCACCCTCACCTATCATCTGGGGCTGGTACAATAGGCCAGAAGTGGCCGCAGTACAAGGGACTTAGTCCCACTCCACTAGCAATAAAAAAAATAGTGGAATGATTTGAGATACTATTCCAGCGTTTGTTTTGGGGGACTGAAGAAAATTACGAAAACGTCAGTCACGATGCCGTCTCGGGACCGGGATTTAAACCAGGAACCTCTCGAATGAAACAAATAAGAACTTCTCCAATTTCGTCGTTTCGGAGGAACGTATCGCCTTCATCTTCAGGGTATAGAAATCCGCGATCCGCGATGGCTGCCGCCACCTGCTCATGCTGGTTCCTCGATCGCGGATTTCTACACCCTGAAGATGGAGGCGATAAATTCCTCCGAAACGTCGGTTTACACACTATCTACACGGCTCCACTTCCCAGAAGACGGCATGCTCATTCATAAAAGTAGTGATAGGTCTATTTACATTAATTACATGAGAAATTACAGGAAATTAATCAACAGATTTTATTTCGAAACATCAATGCGACGACCAGCTAGGGCGTTAGGTCCAGTATTTCATACATGTCATTTCACTGGATGCAAATTGGAGTTTAGTTGGCTCAGTCGGTTTAGCGACTACGCTATGAACTGAACAACCGAGGAGGCAGGGTTGAATTCCCGGTTAAGATTTTCCTCTTCTCCAGATCCAGCCCAAGCAGCTTCCTGTATAGTGGGTATCGGGGGGTGTTTTCCCGCGGGTAAAGCAGGAGGGGCATGAAGCTGATCATTCACCTCCATCTAGTGCAGAGATCAAGAAAATGTGGATCTATATATCTACTTTCCCTTACGCCTTCATGGCGTAGTGTTTATTTAGTTAAGAACAGGGCCAATTTTACCCTTTTCCACCGAAGATGTATGGGAGACTGGAGGTATATCTCAGTATTTTTACCTCGGCACTAGGTGAAGCTAAGTGGTCGTCTTTACCTCCGGAGGAGCAGCGATTAAGCGCACGGAATATTTAATGAAGCACAATATCACTCAGTTACGTAATCACACTTAACGAGCTTTTACTCACAAAAAAAGAACATAATGCATTACAAATTGCGAGATGAAGCAAAATTGTCAGCATGCGTGATTTAAATAATAACTCCGTGGAAACTAGTAATTTAGTGCCTGGTGTCCTTGAATACGGACATATCCGATGTAACACATGCGCAGTGGTAACCGTAGTATCGGACTAGAGCAATTTACAGGTAATGTCGCGCCTCTAGGTATATTCCATCTGTCAGGGGAACATGGGCGCGCCATCGCAATTTCGTGACGTCAATCATTATATCAGTAGAAACTTAACTAGAATCTTTATAAGACACAAGTTTAATCTCTTTAACCTCTCAATACAGAAATAAGCAGTAGACGTCCCTAAAGTGTGACTGTATAGATAAGACTATGTATAAGTTTTGCCTTTATATGTTTCGGTCATTATTGGCCAGCCATCTTCAGGGTAGAAAAATAAACCAAGCAAGAAACAAGCATGAAAGCAGGTGGCAGCGAAAACGTCGTTAATTAATCTCTGTCGTTTTAGTCCGCAAGCGAACTATACCGACGGAGCAACCGCCGCTTGTCGGTGAAGTTAGTTCAAACTTTAGCGGATAGAGGGTGCCGCGTGGTCAGCGCAACGAATCATCATGGTCGTTAATTTCGGCTTTCTAGACCGAAGCCCCTACTTTTCCATTCAAGTAGCTCCTCAGTTATCCTCACGTGGCTGAGTGGACCCCATTCCAAACTATTCTCAGAAAATCTTGTAGCGTCGAGAATTGAACCCGAGACCTCTGGACCTGTAGCCAGGAACTCTGACAACTAGACCACAAATGTGGTCCAAATATAATAAATTATATAATTATATAATTTTATTATTATTCAAATGATATACATTTGTTTTTGTATTTTGTGTCTATGCGTTTTCTTTTCCTTACTCGTGCTCGTTTAATAATTGGCCTTTGGGCTGTTAAGTTAGCATGTAAATAAATACAGATTTAACTGAAATATTAATATTTTTCAATTATTCTTATTAACTAGTTTAAAGAATCAGATGTGGTACCTTTATCTGGGAACACGAAGCCAAACAGCCGGCTGGACAGACGCTCCGAAACAAGTGAAGCCGCCACCTGGACTCGTTGCTTTAAATACCGGCCGTGGAGGATTGTCCGAGGAAGAGGTGTGACGACTTGGCGAGACCAGGCTCCACAAGGAGAGGGGTCATACAACAAGTTCCATTCATCTCGTGCATAATTACAGTATTTATGTAATCGGTGGGATTTTTTGCTTTTCTTAACCCCCCGCCCTTTAGCACCAACTTCCAAGAAGCGTCCAAATCTACGGCATTCAGTCCGAGTGAAACTGACTGTCGTAAGTGTTGGAGCACAGGAACTCTTTGGTGATTCATACAGCGTGAAGACATGAGCTTGGGTTCACGTGACCGTCACTGTTTCGGCCTCTTCTAGAAAACTAAAGGGGTTAGTGGAAAAACGTGGTAGCTCCAATTACTACGAAAATAATTTTCCGTGTAATGATGTTTTCGTTTGTTTACAAAGGAACCAACTGGTACCTCTTAAAGCCAAACCCGAGGGACCACAGTTTGCTAATAATATTTGTAAAGGCATTACAATCCAGGATAAATTAAAATATGGAAATATTAAAATGGTATTCAATCTCTTTACGTGCCTACCTGCATACATCGTATATACATTCGTGCATACATATTTGTACATTATTTATCTTTTGTGTATAGTATATAGGTCTGATAATATTGGTAAAGCTATCCCTGTAACAGGCTGTCGAGGCTCCCACATTTTCTCTATACAATCGGCTCATAGATTGCGGTGAGGTTGTCAGCCTTACGAGGCGGCCGATCTTTACCCCCAGGAAGATTCCTGGTACTCATTTCTGTTAGAAGCTGAGTCGACCCCAGGGCCATAGTGCGGCTGGAAGGATCAGGTCAATCCACCTGATCGGGCTCGAACCCGCTACCTTCCGGCTTGTAGCATAGTGCCTCCAAAATATGCTACCGTGTACGCCCTTCCAATAACATTAAAAATAGAATATTAAATATTATGTAGAATTTGGCTACAATGATGAAAAATACTGCTTTCAGGTAGGGATGGAAAAACTGGGACAGATCCCTGAATGCTTGATTCCTATTTTATTTATCGACATCGTCTCAGCTACATAAATTAAGTACGAGTATACTCACTTGTACCACGGACTTAGACCTAATACGTTCCCGAAAACAGGTCATAGGTCGAAAAATCTAAAGTTGAGCCATCACACATAGGCCGTTAGGGTTGTTTCTGAAACTCGAGGTCCAAACCCTTTTTTCAATATTTGAAACATTTTTAGGTTATTCTACTGCTTTTATTNGTTTTTTTGTCTTTTTTATACCGGACGATGGGTGAAGTCCAAAATAAGCCAAAAGAAGTATTTCAAATGGGTTAATTACTATTATATTGCGGATAGTTAGTTAGTTATTGGAGAGGGTGGGTTTCCCCATGCACTTAGACCAGTATTGGTCCATTGTGCTTCCCTCTATGATATTCTACCAGTCTCTATACCCTACCGATATTGGTGCGTACCATCAGTCCCGACCGAGCCAGCGAGTTCGGCCTCTACTGGCTTGGCGGTATCTATAATACTTCCCCCATCTATCAGAGGGGTTAGAGACTACTGTTGGGCGAGAAACGTCCTTGAATTTGGCTCAGTGACCTCCTTTGGAGATATGAAGTTCTTTTACGTGCCGTAAAGCTACAACACGGGACCGACGGCTTAAAGTCCCTCCCGGAGGACTTGTTCCCTGAATTTTTCCGCCCTTAAAAATTCCACGACCTCCGCCGGGTTTTAACCCGCGTACCACGAGTCACGAGGTAGGAACGTTACCTCTAGACTACGGAGGCCGCTTTTGCGGATAGTTAAGAATTATGATTCGAGATACCAGAGCATTATAATGCGGACAGTTACAAACCGAGATACCAGAGCGTTATAACGCGGATCGTTAAAGAGTTACAAACCGAGATACCAGAGCGTTATAACGCGGATCGTTAAAGAGTTACGAACAGAGAAACCAGACCATTATAACGCGGATCGTTAAAGAGTTACGATTCGAGCTATCAGAGTATTACAATGAGGATCGTTAAAGAGTTACGATTCGAGAGAGCAGAGCATTATAACGCGGACCATTAAAGAGTTACAAACCGAGATACCAGAGCGTTATAACGCGGATCGTTAAAGAGTTACGAACAGAGAAACCAGACCATTATAACGCGGATCGTTAAAGAGTTACGATTCGAGCTATCAGAGTATTACAATGAGGATCGTTAAAGAGTTACGATTCGAGAGAGCAGAGCATTATAACGCGGACCATTAAAGAGTTACAAACCGAGATACCAGAGCGTTATAACGCGGATCGTTAAAGAGTTACGAACAGAGAAACCAGACCATTATAACGCGGATCGTTAAAGAGTTACGATTCGAGCTATCAGAGTATTACAATGAGGATCGTTAAAGAGTTACGATTCGAGAGAGCAGAGCATTATAACGCGGACCATTAAAGAGTTACAAACCGAGATACCAGAGCGTTATAACGCGGATCGTTAAAGAGTTACGAACAGAGATACCAGACCATTATAACGCGGATGTTAAAGAGTTACTATTCAAGCTATCAGAGTGTTACAACGAGGATCGTTAAACTGTTACGATGAGAGATACTAGAGCATTATAACGCGGATCGTTAAAGGGTTACGATTCAAGCTATCAGAGTATTACAACGAGGATCGTTAAAGAGTTACGATTCGAGACAGCAGAGCATTATAACACGGATCGTTAAAGAGTTACGATTCGAGCTATCAGAGTATTACAACGAGGATCGTTAGAGAGTTACGATTCGAGCTACCGGAGCATTTACAAACAAATTAACGTCATAACGAAATCTGGTATCTCCAGCCCCTTGCCCGATGCAGATGGGAAAGCTCTGCTTTTGGGAGAGTTTGAATGAGGCTCGGCTTGGAAGAGGGTGCGGAAGAAAGGTCGCTGTGGTCTTGGACTTTCTGAAGAAGATGTTCCAGGTAGGAAATTCGAGTCTCTAAGTCAGAAAAAAAAAGGCGTGTGTGTGTGTGTGTGTGTGTGTGTCATAATGGGTGTTAGTGTAATTTGATAGTAAATACATAAGTTCGTAATTTGGGGAATCGCAAGTCAAGGTGCGGCTGTACGGTCGAGTACAAATATGACAGCGAATTATAACAGAAAAAGCATGTGCAAGGAAACGGTCGTGTCCAGTCTGAATTTACATGGAGATAAATCACAGCTCAAGATAATGTGTCGCAAGCTCAAGACTCACAACCCAGGATCTCCAGAATACGAGGCAAGAATGTTAATCGCTCAACTTACGAATTTCGGTGGCCCTGAATAAAATTTTATGAGGTCGCAAGAGGCTTACAGCCCGCCCATAAAATCGGTACCCTTTTCTCTCAGTTCAAATCACATGTCCAACCCATTTTAACCGCCTTCATTTTACACCACCAACAAAAATATCGAGTTATAAATCAAAGTTTAGTGTTATATGGTATCCTCAATTCATAACTTACTTCATTTTTCTTAGATCCAAATATTTTCTTGAATACTTTATGTTTAAATAATTACAGCTGATGTTTTCCACTCACACTATCAGACCATGTTTCGGAACCATACACAGTACGCGATAAAATGTTTGCCTCCAAGATATTCATATCCTTTTTGCACGAAAACATTCAATTCCTTCAGGAGCCAGTAACGGTGTAGAATTCACATCACACAACAAGAAGCCTGCACTGTAACACCAGCTGAGCAACAGCACTTAAGAACGAAACTTCTTGGGAAAGAAGCCCCTACAGCTATTGACAAGGAACCAACACAGTCCTACTTGTTTATGGTGGCCTCTGGCCTGCGCAAGAAGGAATGGGAGATACGGATGGTGGGGGAAAGCAAGACAGAGAATTCGGATATCGGTACCGGGAGATGTACGGTGGTGCATTTATAGATAGGATAAAAACACTAATTAAGCTTTAACCACCATGAGAATTGTTGATAATAGCACGCAGATGTTTACTGTTCTCTACGACATCCGTGTCACTTGCTCGGCTGTACAACATATTGGAAATTTAATCTGATTAACACTGGAAACAGACTGGCAAGGAGTTTGCCTCTGTGGTCTAGTGGTCATAGTTCCTGGATACAGATCCAGAGGTTGTTCGATTCCCGGCGATACAAGATTTTCTGAGAAATAGTGGGTCTGGAACAGGGTTCACTCAGCCTCGTGAGGATAATTGAGGAACAATTTCAATGAAATAGAGGCTCCGGTCTAGAAAACCGAGATCAATTGCAGTGGGGTTTCGTTGCGCTGACCACGCGACATCCACTAAAGTTGACACTAACTTCGCCGACAAGCGGCGTTCGCTCGGTCGGTATAATTCGCTAGCGGACTCAAGCTACGGAGGAGTTTCATCACGTTATATTCTCGGCATATGACCTCTCTAACACGTACAGGTTGTTAGGTTGGACAAGATTATAGCGCAAATGTACAATGGCTACGGTTATGCCACTATCATGCAGTGTTGAACAGCTCTCGTGTGACTCAAAACTGACCGAAACTACCAGCTAACATACCCTAAGGGAAGAAACGTCGATAACTTATATATGAGCAGAAAGTACTAGGGAGAATTCTTCGTCTTAAAGATGCTGGAAACAAACATATGAAGACCAGATACATAAACTGTATTCATCAGTATTCCACGAAAAAACTTCCTGGCCTGTAGTCCGCAAGCGAACTATACCGACCGAGCGACCGCCGCTTGTCGGCGAAGTTAGTACAAACTTTTGCGGATAGAGGGCGTCACATGGTCAGCGCAACGGTTCCCCATGGACGTTAATTTCTGTTTTCTAGACCGGAGCCGCTATTTCCTTGAAAGAGCTCCTCAATTATCCTCGCGAGGCTGAGTGGACCCAGTTCCAGATTCACTACGCCTCAGAAAATCTGGTGGCGCCGGGAATCGAACCCGGGACCTCTGGATCTGTAGCCAGGAACTATGACCACTAGACCATAGAGGCGGTCAGTACTTCAATCATTTACAAAATAAAAAAAAAATCAAACATGTCCTAGAAAAACAGCAAAAAACGAACATGACATAACAGAGTTTGGAGAAGAATTTACATGTTCTTGCAAGCATTTTCTTTTTCCTGCTCCTTGGAAATGAGACCACAGAAACTTGTTCATGAAAAGAACAAAGCAACCACTGGCTATATATCCGTTGAGGTAAAGCATCTGGAGAGACACAGACGTGAATATCACGTTACGCTGTGCGAACTTCTTGGTATCAAGTGTAGTAATGAATTCACAGTCAACAAGTCTTGCATCTTGAACTGGTCAAAGGGGTAGAGTTCTGCAACACTCTGTAGCACAAACTTCAAACATGTTCCTAAAAGCAAGTGTCTCTGGGGACGAAACGTTTGTTGACACGTCCCATGTTTAAGTCATATTTTACATATCAGAAGATGAACGCTTCAAGACACACAGTGCAAAAAAATCATATTACAAACCGGGATATTAGACAGCAATGCGGAACACAACCAATAGGAGAATGTGTTTGAAGACGGCTGGAGGAATGGGGCAATCATGTATCAAGAATGACGGAAGAAAGAATTGTTAAGAGTTGTGAGAAATAAAATATATAAAGGAACAAGAAGTCCAGGAAGACCCAAGAAGCGTTGGTTCGACACATTTTCTTCAAGAAAGTGGCTATCAGCCTAACCGAAAGAAAGAAGGAAATATCAGAAAGACACTTTTAAGATGCCTATTCTGTTTAGCCACGGTGACACTATGGCCGCTTATTTTGTTCATAAATAACACTGTGTCACGGGGAAAACTCGTGAGGTGTAATAAGTTACGTGAGATAAATGAGCTGCTTAATCGCGATTTTTATTAAACTACTTTCCTTTCTTTATAAGGAAATACTGGCTTATGACAATATACATGTGTGTGTGGGCGGGAGTTCTGAGCCAGCAGACAGATTCTCATGAAATTTGGTTTCAACTTATTCTTCCTCGCAACTATTAATTTTCTTCTATCAACATCATCATTGAAAATGAAGCGTACTCCAGTTACAGATAACGATCAAACTACAAGTAAAGCAATCAATTAACAAAATTATTATTGACTTGTAATCCAAATATGGAACAGATATTTTATTTTCCAATAACAGGGATAGTCAATGGTAGCATTTTCTGGTTTGTAGAGACTAAAATATTTTATAAATTTGAACAACCGGAAATTACATGAATAAAATACCTGAGAAATAAACAAGTTTTGGACAGAAAGAAAATCCCGCAAGATTTCTGACATAGAAACACATATTACTCAACCATAGTTGGCAGCCCTGACTCACCGTCGATTTGTTTCACAATGGCGGTATACACAGTGTTTTCAGAATATATTCGTTATGAATACAAGAGCACAGTTTGTTCGAAAGCTACATTGTTTATCAGTGTAATCTTTATTTTGACAGTCATACCGCCCATGCTTATTGCTTACAGAAGCTATGGTATTGTAACGTAATATATCATTAGCAAATTGAAAGTGGAGTGTTGAGTTAACCTGTGCTCTAAAGTATATTGACAGTATTTATAAATATGTTTAAATTTTAAATAATTAAATAAATACCGATATAATTTGCTGACAAATATGTTAAGACTCTACTGAAGTATAGTATTTCCCTTAGAGAATCTTATGTGCCTGGTCCAACAGAGAATTATTGAAAAGTACATCAAATTTTTAAATAAAAAGAGTATACATGAGCATTTCTTTCAGCTGTGTATATATAACATGAATGATACCTAAAGAAAGTGTATTAATTGTAAGACTGTTAATGTAAATACACTGAATCTTTGTTTTCTTCTGTAAATATGATCAGTAAACTTGGCAATGGCCGGTCACGGTAGCCGAGCGGTCTAAGGCGTGCACTGTCTTCGATCGCTCGGAAGCCGGGATTGTGGGTTCGAATCTCACTCAGGGCATGGATGCTTGTGTGCGTTTTTCTGTGTTTGTGTACAGATAGAGGCCTTGTGACGAGCTGATCACTCGCCCAAGGAGTCCTACTGTATGTGTTAGATCTAGAAAAACCGAAGTGAACGGAGAAGTTCATGGAGGTAGGCCTAGGCCCACTGGGGCTGTAGTGCCAAGAAAGAAAAAAAAACCTTGGCAATGAAATACCACATTTCCATGATCATGAAATCATTGCTAGACAGTGTACTTTATGTATTATTTACCTTCACAGATGTCTTTATCTTTTTAAAGGTTAAGTTAAGTACTAATATTCTATTGCCCATATTTTAGTAGCTTCCTGACAAATTCAGGAAATGCATCTTAATATTCAGTTCATAAATTCAGATTCTTTCATCTCCTCCTTAAAACAGTAAAGATTTAAACACCCAAAACTATAATTATCAAATTACTTTGTCATAATTAAGTTATATTTTATATAGGATTCTGGATAAAAAGTGATGTGTATCGAGAACAACCAGATGTTCATTTCAAACACGAATACTTATTGATTATTGAAACTGACACGCTGGAGGCCCCTGTCATATGTAGTACTTATCAGTATTTCAGTCAGATTATAAAGGAACATAATCACTGCACCATGATTAAGGTACAGTATCAAATAAATTTAATATTTAGCAGTCAGAGTCAAATATGCATTATGTTGTCCTTTCCATTGCAATATCTTAAAATATGAATTTCATTTGCAGTCAAGAGAGGAGGATAACAACAGGGATGGAAAATATGATGAACTCTACTTTGAGATTCAAGTTCAACTTTTGCAGAATCAAGCTGCACATGCAGTTACACTTTTTCTCCTCTTTGATTACAAACTTTATGTATGTATAATTTTTACTTCACTACCCCAGTAACAACACTGCACAAAAACTTTTGAGATATAAAATCAGGTGATTTGATGTTTTGGTCTTAGTGACCATCTTGAGGAGGACATTGTCAATACATATGGAAACTACTATTACAGTGTCATTGGTCATTATCAGTACTTACAGAAATTACTATTATAATGTCATAGAAATAAAATATTATTCCAAAAGATGAAACAGTTCCATCCAGTGTGATTGTTGAAGCTTTTAGTACTTCACTTCTTAGCACCCTAACATGTTTTGGTCCCTATAGACCATAATTGGAGGGAACATCAATACTTTTAGAAACTACTATTACATTGGGTGTTTTGATTTTTAAAATACATAAATATACAATATTTGTAATATACACTTTATATAAAATCCAAATTTCTTACAACTACAGCAACTGTCCTTGATGCATTAAAGTTTTTTTTTTTAGAAACTTTTTGTTATTTAAGTTAAAATTCTTTAACCAAATAGGTTCATGTCCCTTGTCCTTTCGTTTTTCTTGACGGGAGCTGAACTTGTGCCGCCTGTCTTTCTTGGGAAGGTAGTTCTGCAAATATATTATGGGTACTGTATTATTACTATATTAATAATAGTATTTAGCTCTTTATTTTTAGCATTTTTCCTCCAGGGGCAGTGTGAGAAATCTGTGTATCCAATTTTTATATGCCGCTAATTTTTGTTCCATGGGGTGGCATGATTTATTATTTATTGTTATGTCTGTTGTTGTGGGTTTCTTTTGTATATATTTCCATTTTTATTTGTCCGTGTATGTTAAATAGGTTTAAGTCCAAGTAGGTTATTTGGTTGTTTACTTGCAATTCACAATAAATGAGGAAGTAAACAACCAAATAACCAAATTATTCAAAAACACTAACAGAAAGATAGCCTTCAAAACAACCCACACAATAGGTAAACTAATAGATGAAGAACGAGAAATAAACCCCTATGAACTAAGTGGGATCTATAAAATGACATTTCAAAGCTGCCAAAAAGTATACATCGGCCAAACTGGTAGAAATCTAACAACAAGGTATAAAGAACACATAAGAAACATAAGACTAAATAAAGATTAATTAGCATTCACCCAACATATACTAAATAAAGAACACCAGTATGGACCGATGACAATAATCATGGAAATGAATGAGAAAGCCATAAAAGGAGGCATCATGTATATAAAAGAAGATTTCCAGATATATCATTTTAATAAGCTCAATAAATTAATAGAAGAACAAAAACACACAAAGGAAAGTAATAACCAACGTAACATGTTCGACTTCATAATACATCAGAAAACACCCACATTAACGTCACAAACTCAGGAAGTATAAATTGCACGACACAGTACATACTAGAACAGTAAAAACAACACAGCACGCTACGAACAAACATAGGACGACAACAAGGTAGGAAGAAAAAGAACAAAATCCTTTATATATATATACACACACACACGAGGGGGGACCCAAAAATAACTGGAACCGACCTGTTGCGTGCGCATGCTTTGTAGTTACGAGTTGTGCTGCTGGGTGGTGTTAGCTGGGGGTCTCCCGCGACTGTTAGTGAGCTGGCGTCAGTCTGAGTTAAGTGGTTTGTCTGTGGTGCTCTGTTGTGTGCGTTCCTGTTTCAACCCTTTGGCGATTAGTGAGATGGCCGACCAGAAGGAACAAAGTGTGCGCGTGAAATTCTGGATCGTTCTGCACTTCACTCTTCAAGTCGCGGCAAACATTCATGCGGTTTTCTCTTTGNCTAACAGAAAGCAAAATTTCACGCACACTCTTTGTTCCTTCTGGTCGGCCATCTCACTAATCGCCAAAGGGTTGAAACAGGAACGCACACAACAGAGCACCACAGACAAACCACTTAACTCAGACTGACGCCAGCTCACTAACAGTCGCGGGAGACCCCCAGCTAACACCACCTAGCAGCACAACTCGTAACTACAAAGCATGCGCGCGCAACAGGTCGGTTCCAGTTATTTTTGGGTCCCCCTTCGTATATATAATAGGATTTTTAAAATAATACAATACCCATAATATATTTGCAGAACTACCTTCCCAAGGAAGACAGGCAGCACAAGTTCAGCCCTGTCAAGAAAAACGAAAGGACAAGGGACACGAACCTATTCTTTTAAAGAATTTTAACTTAAATAACAAAAAGTTTCTAAAAAAAACTTTAATGCATCAAGGACAGTTGCTGTAGTTGTAAGAAATTTGGATTTTGTATAAAGTGTATATTACAAATATTGTATATTTATGTATTTTAAAAATCAGAACACCCAATGTAATAGTAGTTTCTAAAAGTATTGAAGTTCCCTCCAATGATGGTCTATAGGGACCAAAACATGTTAGGTTGCTAAGAAGTGAAGTAGTAAAAGCTTCAACAGTCACACTGGACGGAACTGTTTTATCTTTTGTAATATCGTTAGTGTGATGGACCAGAATGAAACAAATAATAAAAAGAAAATATATTATTCTGTAACAATTACTACAATCTGCATGACCTTGTTAAAAAACATTTATAAATTATTATAATTAGTCTACTTACAAAGTATTGTTTAAAAAACGTTTTGTTAAAATCTAGAATCAATTTGGTTTGTGTCCTCTTTAAAGGAAGATGAACGCATGTCACATAGTAATTGTTACAGAATAATATTTTATTTCTATGACATTGTAATATAATTTCTGTAAGTACTGATAATGACCAACTATATTGTAATAGTAGTTTCCGTATGTATTGACAGTGCCCCTCTCAAGATGATCGCTATGACCGAAACATGTAAAGGATGAAAGATTAGAAAAAACACATCATCTATCAATCACAAAGGATGGCATTAATACTGTATTTATGCATGTATAGGCCGCACATTTTTTGCCAAAAATTCAAGAGGAAAACTGGGGTGCGGCTTATATTCGAAATATTCGAAATCACACTTCATTTAAAAAAAAAATTATATTCATAATTAGTAATACAGGGTGTTCTACTCCTGAAATAATATTTAAAGAAAATTATTTTTTCTATAATTTCTGTCTGAAAATTGTGCTGCGGCCTATACATGCGTAAATACAGTAATCTTGCATCAAATCAGATGGTTAATCTATCTTCTTCCCTCACCTGGTTCATACCAAACTCAGAAATGCTACAGCATATACACTTCAGATGCACATAGCCGATTCCAAGCGAAACATCAAAGACTTTAATGGATGGAGAAAACTTTATTTTATTCTTACAGTTGTAAAAGTTACGTGTTTACTCTGAAATTTAACGATGCTTGAAGTGTCTGGAAGTGTGTATGTGTTCACTTAATATTTATGTTAAGTGTTAAAGCATAGTTATTCACCATCCCAATACGAGTATATGACAAGACAAATATATGAAATTATGAAACACAAGGTGCTCAAGATTACAGTCTTCTGTTATGCAAAGCCAAAGTCTAGTAGATGGGTACCAGTTCTTCTACCCTGAAGATGGAGGCAGGAAGTTCCTCAAAATGTTGGATGTGCTACAGACTACATGGTGTCACATCCCAGATGACTATAATCTTCATCTTCAGTCATGAGAACCTCCAATCTCTCATATAATGGATTACATAGCTTCCAGTTCATGCATTTAAAGACAGGAAACAGTTTGAAAAAATTTCAGAAAGCACAGAAGAAAGTTAAAAAAAAATGTGCTTCACAGTAACAGAATAAAATCCATCTACTTAATGACATAACTTTGTGAAATGGAGAAGTGTTCAGGTCCCTCAGAACGCTTGTATAAGCCTGTACTCGTACTATTTAATTTATGTTGCTGTATATAATCGTTAATATTTAATTTTTCTAGAAAATGAGTTCATTTCAAATGGAATCATTAGGTATGATCCAGTACAGCTCCAGCCTTCCTGGTGCACGTTTTGATGTAGTTGCAGACCTAAGGCTCACACAGAAGCAGCTCCTTCATAATCGCGGAAGAGATGTGCGCTTCAATAAGGCAGTACTGAATATGGAAGATATTTTCCCTGAATCATTCAGTCTGCCCACATTGCTGAAGAATTATGCAAAGAGAAATGGTATGAAGCAAGGGTATAAATAAACCATATAGTATAGGTACAAACAGCGCTTTCTCCCCTCCTAAAAACGTTTCCTGGTACTCTCATTCTCGGTTTTGGCCATAAAGTTGACAGATGCAACGCAGTTGCAGATGTAGGACTTCTGATAGGTTTACTGGCAGTTGTTTGACAGTCTGAAAAATTCATTGGCTATAAAAGATAAAGAACTGAGAAGTTTCTAATAGCCAGCTGTCTATAGACAGGAGCATTAATTCAACAGTAAAATTAATCAAATAGATATGTTAATAGATCAAATTTGTTTCCGGAAATTTTAAGTGCATTGAAACCCCACTCCTGACTGCAGCCTTACATAATGAAGGGTTATTAATGTATATAAAGATTTACATGACTGCCTCTGTGGTCTAGTGGTCAGAGTTCTTGGCTACATATCCAGAGGTCCTGGGTTCGATTCCTGCCGCTACCAGATCTTCACGAGAAGTAGTGGGTCTGGAACGGGGTCCACTCAGCCTCGTGAGGGTGAATGAGGAGCTATTTTAAGGAAATAGTGCCTCCGGTCTAGAAAAACGAGGTTAACTGCCATGGATATCTGTTGCGCTGACCATGACACCCTGTATCCACTAAAGTTGGCACTAACTTCTATGATAAGCAGCGGTTGCTCGGTCAGTATAGTTCACTTGCAGACTACAGGTCACGGAGTTTTTTTTATAAAGATTTACATGCACACAAAAATAGTATTACTGAATTTTCCTTTCCAGTTTCCACAATTCTGAAGAATGCATATCCATTGTGGACAGTAGGGCGGCCAGCTGATGAACCTTTCATCATATCTGCTGTAATTCACTATCCTGAAGAAACAATTCTATACAAACCAGGGTTCTGGCAAATAATGAAGTGGGCTTGGATACAGTATATATCAATACTGGTAATTTTTGTGTGTGTGTTCCGAACAGTGAAATCATACGTGTTTCAGAATCAACTTATAACAAGTATAAAATGTACACCATGGAAGAAAGACTACTAACTTTCAGATGAGACTTTGATTTAACATTTGGAATAAAATTTTTCACAGAACATTTATTAAAATTGTAACTGTGTACTTCACTATTTATAATTCACTGGATCCTGAAGGTGACAAACTAATTTAGATGTTCCCTATACTCTGTGTGCTGGCATGTTAAGTACTGCTGAGAGGGTGTTTTAAAACAAGGTTCTGAGAATATTTGGACCTAAGAAAGAGAAAGTAACAGAAGGATCAATAAAATTACATAATGAGCTGAGGATGTTAAAATGGAGCTTGGAAAAACAGGATATAAAAGCATGGACTGGATTCACCTGGCTCCAGAAGGGTCCAGTGGCACAGCTTTCATGCTGTATAAAGTCATGGAGTTTCTAGGCCAACAACTCTTCGGTGATCACCCTGTACCACAGAGTTATCTGTTCCAATCCATATTTCATACATTCTCCTGTAACCAATGACCAGTTCTTGAACATAACAGATATGTAGGTTCTTTCTTACTGTATCTTGCAATGAAAATTTAGAAATCAGATGGAAGTGTACAAATGAACCCTGTCTGCATGAACTTCTGTATATGCAGATACCTCAAGACCTCACAAAACCCAGCCCAGTGCAACAAAACAATTCTGTACAGCTACCTTGAGTTGATACGATTTACCAGCAATCTTGAAGTATTTACTATGTGCTATGCGGTCTAATGGTCAGAGGTCCCATGTTCTATTCCCAGCACTATCAGATTTTGTGAGAGGTAGTGGGTCTGGAATGGGGTCCACTCAGCCTCGTGAGAATAAGTGAGGAGCTATTTCAAGGAAATAGTGGCTCAGGTATAGAAAACCGAGATTAATGGCTGTGGGAATCTGTTATGCTGACCACGCGACACCCTCTATCCGCAAAAGTTTGCACTAACTTTGCCGACAAGCAGCAGTCACTTGGTCTGTATAGTTCGCTTGCGGACTATAGACGACGGAGTATCTTCCTTACAAATTCTTTGTCACATACCCTGATCCTTTATTCCTTATTGCTCTGTCATTAAGCTTAAATTTAAATTCGCTTAGTGGGGGGTGGAGTTAAACTGGGTCCACTCGGCATAGCAGTCACTGATTGGCCTATTGTAGCCTGTGCCAGATGATGATGATGATGATGATGATGATGATGGAGAATTTTGTGGAATGAAGATTAGCAGGGGAAACCGAAGTACTCAGAGAAAACCCGCCCCAGTGCCACTTTGTCCACCACAAATCCCATTTGACCAGACCCGGGATTGAACCTGGGCCACCTTGGTGGGAAGCCAGCAATTAACCACTTCAGCTATGGCGCAGCCCTCATTAAGCTTAAAATCAAATCTAATTAGGGTGGACAAGTTTCAGGTTGCATTCGGCACTTACAACAGGTGACTCAAATAACTTTAAAATTTCCTGCCATCTTGTCTGTCATGTTAGCACATGCATAGTCCGACTGAATTCGATGAATTATATTTCAAAGGCATTCACAGAGTGAGATAACTCTTTATGACATTTGCGGACTTCTTCACAGAGATAAAATGCAGACTGATTATACACACACTAATATGGCTCAACACTGGTAAATTTTAAAATTACCTGGGCCACCCATTAATATGCAAGAACTGTGCATTCCTCATGACTGCATGGCTCACTGGTCTCGACATTCATTTAATGCAGATAGACCCACTGCTGGCAGAGATAACATGCAGTACTATGCTATATATGATATGATACTGCACTATACAGTCATAAATCCTGTTGTTAATAAATATAAATCAACATTACTTGTGGTGCACTGCTCACAGGCATAAACTGTTGTTAAGTCAGTGATATTAATGAAATTTACCAAACTTCTGTTGACAGTATACGCCATTTTTAAAAAGCGTTATACAGGAAAATCCAAGCTTTATGTAAAATACAGAATATACTGATCACTTTCCAAAACAATAATTTTGTCAGGAGTTTGTATGGTCCCCAGACATGGTCTCTTCCTTTGACGGAAAAACACATATTATACAGGAAGCTTACTATTGCTCAGATAATGAAATTAAGGTTATGACGAGTTAGACGTGCAGCTTGGATGAGATTATAAAAAAAAACTCCGTGATTTCAGTCCGCAAGCGAACCATACCGACCAAGACTATAAATGCATACAGAAAGTTTAATTCATGGAAGATTGAGGAGCAGGCTAGAGAATAACACATACAGATCTTAGAGAGACAAGTTGTAAGAATGGGAGATGGATTGAACTGTCCCATGATTAAGGTGCGTTATTATCACATTCTGTTACCATAGAATTAAGTTATTTATCAGTTATACTGGAGTGATAGTAAAGTGAAATCTTGTCCACAATTATTAGCACAGAACCCTCTAAACATTTTATTGAACTCTATAAGTGGTTTAGGTGATTAAATTTGTGCAAAGAAAACATAAACCTCAGATAAAATACAGAAATGAGTAAATTTCTCTCCTAAGTCAGTCAAGTTATATACATTAAAATTAACAACACTAATGTTATGAATATAATGAATTGTAACACCCCTTTAAATCAGTCTCTCCAAATGCTATGATCTATAAAGATTACTGTTCTGTTTATTATAACATCAATTCCATACAAAATTATTATTTCACTGTGGCATTTTTCTCAGTCTTAATTTGTTAATATGCTATAAAAATGAATTACTTCTGAATCATCATGTTATGAGTAGAAACCACAAAACAGACGAAATTCCTTCCGTCTCTGTATGGTTCACAACAATGATTCTAAAACATCGTATTTACCCAACTACAAGACATTTTGTTATTTTCATTTTCATTCCAAAATAAAGATTATCTTATATTCGCAAATGAAGAAAAATACATAAAAATATCTAGAATACAATATCAAATAAATACAAAATTATTTGAAAAGGCAGTCGTCATTGCATTTTCATTACTTTTACTATCATGCACAAAATTTATCCATTTATGTATTTCTGGAGCTGTCACTTGGCTTTCCGAGATGCACTTCATTTTGTCAGAACAATTCCAGATGGGAAGCAGAAATGTTCTCATACTGACAAGATGTAAGTTTAAAGATGGCACAGACTGCCAGATGACAATGTGACTGCGCAGTGATCATATAGGGTGATGTTCATTTATTCCTTTTTTAAACGTTTAAATATCTGTATCTCTTCGGCAAAGCCTTATTTCATCTACAACACAATCACGGAACTCTGAGCAGAAATGAGAGAGGCTCAAGATGCAAAGATCCCTCCATTCTCATGAACTGCATAATTATAATCTTAAATTAATGATTATCAGGTATGTCAGAGCAAGTAATAACTGTGTAGCATACAGAAGATACAGTTTTCTGGGACTAGTTTTTGGGTATAGACAGAAGATAAAGTGCAATTACTAGTTGCCAAAAAGCATTCTCCGAACCTAAACATACCATTATAAAAAGATGGGAGAAACAGTTACATCTATGCCGAAGAACTGGACATAGGACTTTTATCTAGACAAGTAATAAAACAGTTTCCTTATTACTTTCCACTGAAAAGGAAGGTCACTTGTATTGTCTTAAAGTTGGATAAACACAGTATCTCTATTAAACTACAACTTACAACATTTTCACCAGCTGTATAAAAATCACACTATAATATATCAAAAGGCTTCTCGAAGTTCATTTGTTGGTCATATCTGTTATCTTCAATTATGATTGTGTTTCTAGGATAATCTTCCAATTGGACAAAAAGGTACCTGTACTCAAAATCTCCTTTATCATTCTGAAACAAAAAAGGAATTACCATTGTATCTCAGTTTTGAAATAATTACATCTCTATTCCGTATTCATTAAGCGGACTCAGATTTAATTTGCAGTGAGGCTCACCTTCAGTAAAATATACAGATAATAGACAAGGGGATACTTCGGTCTGCTGAATTAAGATATCTGTTCAACTCTGACAATACATTTATGAAAATTTAGCCATGCAAATCTCATAAAATCATGTACCAAAATAACCATAATATGAATGTAGTTTCTTGTTTCCCTGCTCCTGAAGGAGCCTGCAAGGGCACAAGAAATTAATTTTTGGGTTCCACCAGATTTATAAGCTTATACCTAATTTATTTCTTCAGAAATGTCAGTAGGTGATGTCTCAAAACACCTGACAAGTTTAGTACACTAATAAATAAAAGATTATCCCCATAAATTGAACAAAAAAAAAAGCAATCAAAATCTAGAACATAAAAAAACTTGTTTCATTTTTCTGGGCATTACAACTAGGAAAACCGGTTTCTCTACACAGAAGAGAATGTTTTAAAAGATACCACTCTCTCATATTACAGCTGTGAATGGGTTAAATGCATATCGTTTCATCGTGGCAAATGGGAACAGCTTTCCTTACAGGTTCCAAAAATTGTTTATTTAAGAAGCTAATCTATTTAAAACAATAAAAGAACTTCACCTCACGCATTTCCAAGTGCACTGTCCCCCTTTTTCGGCTTCCTTGAATATAGTATTTCATTCTTAGGAAATTGATACCATCACGTTCGTAAAAAAGATGGCTGTAAAAAAAATGTGTTACATATGAAAAAATTATGTTGCTCTTTCACCATTTAAAGCACAATGGTCACTATATGTACCACCTGTTATAACATTCCAGAACTGCAGTCATGTTCCTACATAGCATTAACAAACTGGTCTTTGTAATGGACCTGCATGTGTATTCTGTGAAGTAGGAACAGAATTTCTAGTAAATTCTAGGTAGATATCTTGCTTCAAAGCTTCACACCAATTATGACTGGCTGATACTTGAATTATTAATGATTATACTTCAACTGCAGAGGATATCAGCATTAAACATGATAGGGAGAGGGACCTGAATGGTGAAGAAGTGGGGATTTCAAAATTACTAATCACATACTACTTCAATATACTATCCCAGCATTCATATGAAGATGGGGAAACCATAAAAACTTTGGGCTCTCCTGTGAGCCAGGTAAGATCTGAACCAGTATCTCTTGAACAGAAATCTAGTGGTTATTACTGCACTCACCAAGAGAAATATTCTCCTTTTAATACATGCAAAAGACAAACAAGAAGGTAAGGATTTGGAAAGATCCAATCTGGCTCACAGCTGGCAAATATCCTGCATTCTCATAAAGAGACAGTGGAAAACTAGGTAAATCCTCAGTCAGGAAACCAAGCAGTATATTAATAATACAAGACCAAACTGCCATCAAAAAACAGTCACATTATATTTAAGCATCCTGTTGCAGTGAGGTTCCACTTATAGTCTATCAAATATTCCACCTATACTGCAACAATCAATAACATTAATTCACACTTAGACACACTTAGATACACAAGAAAAATAATCAAACAAAGTACAATTGTATTAATTAAAGTCCATGTTATACCTTACAGAGATACAGCTGCACTACATAAAACATACGAAGCAGAAAACATCAAAAACAAAATGAAATAAATAAAAAGAATTATATTCGATTAGTGCGCAGTGCATTAGGATTCCTCATATAAGTGTTGCCTGAAGACCATTGTGTGGATTAAAGTGTGAATCAATGTTACTGATTGTTGCATTATAGATGGAACACATGATAGACTAAAAGTGGAAGTCATGTAAATTACTAAGAATGGAGTAATTAAAATAAATTATTTTAAGGCAAAGATTCTAATTTTATACTTGTAACAGATAAATGAGGCCCAATGCTGGTGGCAACTTGATATAAGCTACCTCACCAGAATTTTATGAAGACATAAATTATATCCCTGATTATTCTACCTGTAAAGAGAATCAATTAAACATGACCAGATATATTGGTGAGTTTGCATATTAACATATACATACCTAACATGACGCCTTCTTCCTCGTCGCGTTTCTTCTCCAAAACCTTTTATAGGTTCACCTAATGAATCTATTACTTGTGGATTTGCACAGCATTTTTTAAGAGATGTTGTATATACACTGTTTGGACTTTTGCTGGAAAACAACTCCCGAAAAACTTGATAAAATATCACTGCTGTCACTCCAACACCAGCAAGAATAACTCCCAAGTATGAAGCTGTCTTAGTCGTCTCTTTCACTAGAAAGAAATTAAACTGGGGTTTTCTTATCTGAATGATAAAGGAACAGTACTGCTTTTAAAAAAAATTGGCCATGTTGTTCAAAGTATTCTCAAAATCACATTTAATTTATCTTTTATATTTTAATATATGAATACTTTATTAGGCCTGGTACAATTCGCATTTTGGAGTGCTGTGGTTTCACTCAAGGGTCCTACATTCCAGCATTCCATTTAAATTACTATTCCTGCAAAACAGACCACATCTATTATACCTTAACAATTTAGTGATGTGCCAGGATATCCTAATGCTACCCTTACTAATTACTACTCATGCAAATGTGTTTGTGTGTCATTCTTGGTCTGTTTTATCATCCCTTCCAGTCTCTCCTTATATTTAATCATATACATTCCTACTCTCTGCCTCTGCTCTTTATCCTTGCATCCTACCCTCCTACTGTCCTTCTAATACCTAATTATGCAACAATATACCTAACCTTTTATCCAAAATCTGCTACCTGCAAATCTTTGTTTCTTCACATCTCAATATATGGCTCCAATTTTTGTACTAACTACACATGCACCAAAACCCCTGTTAACTGTTCCGCCCAACCATATTCAGTTTCCAGACTCCTTACTTGCCACAATATCATTCCTCTCTGGCATCCCCTATATATTATTATGTATATTCCTCCTTGGGCTATTATAATAGCCCAAGGAGGAATAGCCCAGGCCTACAAAAAAAAAATTTTTTTTGGTGTCTAGGATTTTAGAACTAATTTTAGTTATATTTAAGGCGCTGAATCTAAATATAAAATCAGTTTTTCTCTACCAGCTCTACTTTTTTAGATCAGCGTTTTTGTAACGTGCAGTTCTACACAAAATGTGCAGTTCTAATTGTATTTTGTGCAGTTCTAAATCTCATATGCAAGGATTGGTTCCTGTATATTTTTCAACCAGGATGAGTTAAATGACCTCATCAGAGATCTCAACCTGTCAAAAGAAGCTTCTGAATTACTGGCTTCTAGGTTGAACGACAAAAATTTACTGGAACAAGAAACCAAAATTTCCTTTTACCGCACAAGAGAAACGGATCTGCTACCCTTCTTCTCTCAAGATTACAATCTTGTATATTGTCACGAAATTAGAGGACTCTTGGAAAAAATGGCTCTTCCTGAATATTTTCCCGATGATTGGCGCCTATTTATTGACAGCTCAAAGCGAAGTTTGAAATGTGTCCTTCTACACAATGGAAACAAATATGGTTCAATACCAATTGCTCACTCCACGAAAATGAAAGAAGAATATAACACCATAGCTTTGGTCTTAGAGAAGATAAAGTATCATGAACATCAATGGGTGATTTGTGTGGACTTAAAAATGGTAAATTTTCTCCTTGGACAGCAAAGTGGTTACACCAAATATCCCTGCTTTTTGTGCCTCTGGGATAGCAGAGACAAAACACACCACTGGGTTAGAAAAGAATGGCCCAAGAGAGAAAACATGTACGTTGGGGAGAAGAATATCATTAACGATCCCTTAGTTAGACGAGAGAAAATCATCTTTCCTCCACTGCATATCAAGTTGGGCCTTATGAAGCAGTTTGTAAAGGCCCTTGATAAGAACGGATCATGCTTTGCATATATAGAAATGAAAATGCCTCAGTTGAGTACGGAAAAAATTGAAGCAGGAATATTTGACGGCCCACAAATAAGACAACTCATTAAGGATCCTGCCTTCGCAAATTCGATGAACGAGGCTGAGCGAAAAGCCTGGACTTCATTTGTTGCAGTTGTCGAAAATTTTCTGGGCAAACACAAAGCTGAAAACTATGTTGAACTGGTAAACGAGATGCTTAACAGTTTCAAATCCCTTGGCTGTAACATGAGCATTAAGGTGCACTATTTACACAGTCACTTAGATAGTTTTCCTGAAAATTTAGGAGACACCAGTGAGGAACAAGGTGAAAGATTTCACCAGGATATTAAAACTATGGAGGACCGCTACCAAGGAAGATGGGATACACACATGATGGCAGATTACTGCTGGAGTTTAAAAAGGGACTGTTCTAAAATACATTCAAGAAAGTCACGAAAAAGAAGCTTCCGTAGTGTTCCGTGACTATAGTTGGTTTGACTGTTATATATAGTCGATGATTTTTTCCTCTATCTTTGTATTTAATATAATAAAATAAAAATATAATTATAATATAGTAATAAAAATTCCATGTTGAGTTTTTTTATTTGATCCACTGATTTAACTTAAAATAGTGTAACGTATATTTCACCAAAATGTTATATCTTAAAAATTTGAGCTCCTAGGCAAAAACTAATGCCATATTTGAATTCAGGGCATCAAATTCATATGAAATCAGCTCCAAATACCCCGGCACCAAAACAGCTGTTGGCCTGTGATTATGCATAACCTCCCTTCCTCTCAGAATGTTTTGATGTAGTTACATTATTTATATTTACCAAAGAATATGTTTGCTGGTACTCCCACACTCAATTTTAACCTCAAGGTTGAAAAATATAATTCACTGCCCTGTGCACAACTTCTGACATGTTTGCCAACATATGTACCAGCAGAAAAACTGCTAGTTGTACCAGCCTGTTAGAACAAATACATTTTCCTGTATTTGGATATACTTTTATATACCTCCTGGAAACTAATTCACTCCCAGGTGAGGTCACTTTAATTTAATTTATGTTATGGTTGTTTTGAGTTAAGCAAACACAAATAATATCACGTGTGACTGTGTCGAATGTTACATTCACACATCATGAACAAGTGAAAGAAATCAATATGTCCTGGCTACTTTCCAGTAATAAAACTGCTATCTGGTATTTCAGAGAATACACAATGAAATGATGACTGATCCTAGAAAAATCTTGTTTCTTTAGTAACTCATTTCCTGACTTTGTTATCTTATTTGAATGTACTTTTACTTGGTGTTTAAAACTTAAAATATGACACAACTGGTATTGCACAGAGAAATACTTGTAAGAATTATACCTTTAACCCAAAAGTTGGTAAAGTTAATGGTAAGGTTGTCCCTGTGATTAAATAATTAAGCACTATGCCATGAAGATGTATGGGCCAGTGGATGTATAGATCCACATATTCTTGATCTTGACACTAGCTGGAGGTGAGTGGTCAGCTTCATGCCCAGTGACTTTACCCCTGAGTAAAGAGCCCCTGGTACACATTGGACAAGAAGCACTGGGTATGTCTTTATACTATATAACCAATTACTCGTGCATACAGACATATGTGGAGCCAGAATTGCATAATTGGTGTAGGGACTAGTCACAGGCTGAACGACTAGGGTCAGAGTTCCAGTCCTGGTAGGGTCATGAATTTTCTCTTCTCCACATCATTCAGACCGGCTCTAGGGTTCACCCAATCTCCTATCCAATGGGTACCAGGGGCCCTTTCCTTGGGGGTACAAGGGCCAGGGCATGAAGATGACCACTCACCTCCAGCTAGTGTTGAGGTCAAGAAAATGTGGACCTATACATCCACTATCCCATATGCCTTCATGGCATAGTGCTTAATTAGTTAAGCACTTGATACAGACATTTGTAGCCCCATTACTAGTCTGCAGAGGCAACAAGTTCCCTTACCTGTCAAGGCCAGAAGTTCATTTTCAAATATATAACTCGAAAACTAACCTTACGTTTGCATTATTTAAGACAAAAGAAAAGCCTAATATTACAAACAAGGTGCAGAGAACATCCATCCAATGTGTTCTGAATGCCTCTGATGCCAGTATTTAACATGAAGTTCATTTTAATAATGTACCCAAGTCACTTGGGGGGTGGTTAGTGGGTATAAGCATGAATGTTACAAAGTGTTTGGATATCGATGGACAACTATCTGGTGGTGGCAAAATTTCGGGAGAGACTGGCAGTGAGCAAACAAACAATGCACTTATTTCACATGACGAGTTTCAATCTCAAGCAATCGATTGAGTTGACGAGTAAAGAGCAGTATCACGCTGAAATCTCAAATAGGTTCACAGCCTTGGAGAACACTCAGGAGGATATTAATAGAGTTTGGGAAACTATTAGAGAGAATATCAAAATTTCAGCCAAAGAGAGTCTAGATTATTATGAACTGAAGAAGCATAAGCCATGGTAAGACAAAGGACGCTCCAAATTATTAGATCAAAGGAAACAAGTCAAACTGCTGTGGTTATATAATCCAAGCAAAATATATGGGGATAATCTAAACAATATAAAATGTGAAGCCTGCAGGGATTTCAGGAATAAAAATGAGGGAATATCTGATAGCCAGATCTGTCTTCTTGCTGCTGTCTAAAAATGTAAAAATCAAAATACCCAAAAATTTAATTTTGCCTGTGGTTCCGTGTGGGTGTGAAACTTTGTCTCTGACATTAAGGGAAGAGCATAGATTGACGATGTTAAGAGAACTGGGTGCTTAGGAGAATATTTGGACCAAAGAGATATGAAATGACAGGAGGTTGGAGAAAACTACATAATAAGGAGCTTCATAACATGTACTCTTCCCCAAGTATAATTAGAATGATGAAAGCAACGTGGATAAGATGCTCAGAGCATGTAGAATGAATGGAGGATAAGAGGAATGCATATAGGACACTGGTGGGAAAGCCAGAATGAAAGAGATCACTAGGAAGACCAAGATATGAGTGGGTGGATAATATTAAAATGGATCTTAGAGAGACAGTATAGGGTGGTATGTACTGGACTGATCTCACTCAGGTCAAGGACTAGTAGAGGGTTCTTGTGAACACGGCAATGAACCTACAGGTTCCACAAAAATTTTGGGAAGTTCTTGAGTAGCTGCACAACTGGCAACTTCTCAAGTTAGTCAGATTCTGTAGAGACAAATCAAGTAGGCCCAAATATGTGGTCACTATACTTCGAAATTAAGCAAAAAGAAAGTTATACATCATACATATACTGCAAAGCAACAAGCTTCCAAGCAAAATGTACAGAAATGGGTTACTCAAAGCTCCTACTTACTAACCCTTCTTCAACGTCTTTGGAGTTCCAACTTCCGCAGGCTTCACTTTGGTTATTTTCGAAGAGTCTTTTTTCTCTGAGCAATAAGATCTATATACACGTGGGTTAAATTTATTTTCTTTCGCCACTTCAAATATATCCATTGTATGTGTACATAGTGCTGTAAATATTTTAATTTTGCGATATGGAAGGTACTTCTGACGTGCAAGTTGTCCTATCAGTTTTGACATTGTTGGAATTTACTATATTTTATGAATGTTTATTTATGTTACACAAGGCATGATAACGTTAAATGAATTATAACTTTGATCACTTAAACACTCCTCATAACCCTATCACTGTAAATTACGCAGTTTTTAGCATAAAGTCCTATTTACTTTGGATGTGTAAGTCATACTGGTCACAACTATCACATCATCTTATATTCGTCAGCTGTTCGACAGCACACATCATATTAAATACGTCTAATCGGTCTAATCATTTTCATTCGCAGCAGACGAAATAACCTCCCAACGCCTGACACTAGACTCCGATCGAAATGCAGTTCAACATCGAAAACCAATCGCCTACACCGATCTACGCGGCTTAAAGAACCAAATGGTGCAAAATGATAGAATTATAAATAAATAAATAAAAGTACTCGTTCAATACTGCCAAATGACGACAGGCAAAAATCTCTACAAACTAACACTGAGAACGACCTTGTTCAATCATTCTGAGCGGATTCTGAGACTATCGTATGAATCTCAAATAGACGAAGCCATTGCAACACTCTTTCAAAAGAAGCAGTAGCAGAGTAAATATAAATCAGTAACCGAATTCATGTGTTTCATGTTAAACGCGGAACGACCTGGCAAAAGAGAAAGATACTGGGGAGTACGACAACAGCGAAGTCCTTCGTAAGCTCATAGAAGAAAAATTGTCCTTGCGGGAAATTATATCCGTCCTGCAGAGCCTGCAGAGTGAGAGAATTCAACATATGTTTGTCCTGGTACACCATGAAGATTATAATAACCGCTGCCAAGTAGCAAGAGGAAAGTCGAGGAAAAGGAAAAAAAGTGGCTCACCATTCTCCAGTTTCAACGAGTAACAGATTTAACACACTAAATGAAGTTGCTGATGAGACTGAACAGAGGAAAGAATTAAGTCGTCCAAAGGTGAACGTAAAAAAAATTCCGGTATTCTATAGTGATATGGCGGAGATATACCGATGTCAATCAGTAAAACTAATGTGGATATCTCAGTGTATGGTGAAGTTAGGCCTGGTGCTAAGGTGAAAGATGTACTGAAAAATTGCGTAAAAGAATGTGCAGCATTAGGCCCTCAGGACCATGTAATTATGGGGCGTGCCAATGACATTTTCAGGAATGAAACAAAGAATTATATAAAAACTTTAAAAAGTACACTTTCTGTACTGACCTCTACAAATGTTGTGGTTCTCAATATACCAGCTAGGCATGATTTAATAAAATATGGACATAAACAAGATACGTAAAAGATTCAGAAATGTAAAAGTACTAGACATTCATTCATTCATTTTTTGTACATTCCATAAATCCATATACATAGATATAGAACCAGTCACATAGTTAATATAGTACAATACAGATATAAATATATATGTACAGACAGGGCTTGAGGTGGGGCGGGATGGCATCCTGGTTCTTTTCTAAATGGCTTAAAAGCATCCCGTTACTTCTTTGGCAGTAAATGCAATGTACAATACCTTTTTTGTTGTTGTTGTTATCTGTTTCATGGTTGCACAGGCTACTCCCCTGCGTCGTCTAACTAAATTTTGCTTTCATGTGGTACTGTTTGAAGCACCCGAGAATGCACAGTCCCACATCACAGTTCTCGCACTTCGTCTGAACACGTTTCCTCTTTCCACGTGCAGAACAAACATGGCATTTCATTCTCATGGCACAAGAGGTCGGCCAGTCATGTTGATTGGCCTCCTCTAGACGAAATATTGTGGATGACAGAGCAGGAGGTCGACCTAATGGGCGTTGTGGTTGGGAACGACACATTATAGCATGAATATTACATGAATATAATGAATGGTGACGACATGTATCCTGATGAACTAAAGCCATTGATTGCAGCTGCAAATACTATTATTATTTCGACTGCAGAGTGTGAGCGTATGAACAACATTATTTCAACCATCCGAAGCTCGATGCTTTTAAAAACAGCGTCTAGTTTAATGTTTATTTCATCAGTGGGGCCCCCTCTTAGTGCTTTCGATGCAGAATATTATGTAAAACAATGGCTAAAGAAAGGACGTCGACATGCAGATTACCAGTCTTGTGCAGCCCCCGCAGATAGAAGATCAGTGACTTCAGAAAGCAATGAAAACATCTGGAAAATATTCTAAAGATAAGTACTCGTAATGCATGTGTGACTATTTTAACGCATGCCATTTAAACTACTGTAATATGTTCATAGGTCTTAGATGGAACACAGACTATATACATCACTTCGGTATATTTTCATAATTTATGTCTGAATTAAAAGGGGAAAACCATCCTGGTTCTATTTTCATTCCACCTCAAGCACTGTACAGAATATAATCATTGTAGTAGATAAAAAATGTGTTAAATTTATATAAAAAAACAGTCTTACATCACTATACATAAAATTATGCAATACTAAAATTGTTTATGCTATTATCTTTATTTCTAGGCAAATTTGTTACTAAAGAATTCATCACCTGTATAAAACGAGTTTTGCAATAAAAATGTTGTCATCTGAATTTTAAAATTTTTCGAGTCATTAGACATAGATTTGATTTTTGGTGGCAAATGATTAAAGATCTTTACCCCCATGTAACATATTCCTTTTTGGAATTGTGTCAGACTAGTTTGCGGATAATGCAGATCACAGATAGATCTGGTACTACAATTATGCATTTGTGAGTTGAATGTGAACAATTCCTTATTTACTATGACAAACAGAGAGATCGACAATATATATTGAGCTTGTAGGGGGAGGATATCCAATTCTTGAAACAAACTATGACACGATGTTCTCTTTGTTGTATTTGTCATAATCCTAATTATCCTTTTCTGCATCCTAAACACTTTTATACTATGCGGTGAGTTACCCCAGAGTATTAATCCATACGTTATTATAGAATGTACATAGGAAAAATACATCATTTTTAATGTCTCCAGTGGTAAAAAGGATTTAACCGATCGGATTGCAAAACAGGATCTGTTTAACTTATCAATTACTGCATCAATATGACTTTCCCACATTAAAAATTTTTCAATTTTTAATCCCAGAAACGATATATTAGAAATACTTGGAATTTGATTGTTTAAATAACTAACTTGAATATTTAAGTTTTTACTGTTTTTAGTTCTAATCTATAGAAAATAAGTTTTTTCATAATTTATTACTAGCTCATTTTTCCAAAACCATTTATCATCTCAAATAATTTATTTATTCTGATTTTGAATTTCGCAGGATTCTTATCAAAGATAAGGATACTTGTATCGTCTGCAAATAATATTGGTTTGGATAGGTCAGATATAATTTTTGGTAAGTCATTTACATTTAGTAAAAAGAGCACTGGGCCTAATACAGAGCCCTGAGGTACTCTGCACTGTATTTCTCTCCATTCAGAACAACATTTACTTCCATTTTCATACAAAATTACTATCTGGTATTTTCCTCTCAAATAGGAGGATCTCATAAGTTTCTGAGCAGCTCCTTCAATTCCATAAAANGTGCACTTGCTTTTATTAATTTGGTAGTAATTCCATCGTATCCACAAGCTGCTTTAAGTTTTATAGATCTTATTATCTCTTCTATTTCATTGTTATTAGTTGCTTTTAATACCAATTTATGAGATGGTTTTGGAAATGATGTGTATAAATAATCCATGAACTTCTTATCTGTTTCCACAGTATTA